CCGACTTCCTGCTGCAGCATGGTGTTTTATAATGTTTACTCTAAATAACCCCCCCCCTCCTGTCCCCCTGCAGTGAAGCCCAGCCCCCCCCAGAATCTGGAGGTCATCGACTTCACCAAAGAGTCCGTCACTCTGAGCTGGAAAGCCCCCGCAGACTGCGGCCGCGGGAAGATCCTCGGATACCTGCTGGAGTTCCAGAAGACCACCGACAACGAGTGGAGCAAGGTGAGGCCGCTTTTATTGTGAAAAACTCCTGTGTGTATGTACAAATATGTAGGGCTTTTATTGTGAAAAACACCTGTGTGTATGTACAAATATGTAGGGCTTTTATTGTGAAAAACACCTGTGTGTATGTACAAATATGTAGGGCTTTTATTGTGAAAAACACCTGTGTGTATGTACAAATATGTAGGGCTTTTATTGTGAAAAACACCTGTGTGTATGTACAAATATGTAGGGCTTTTATTGTGAAAAACACCTGTGTGTATGTACAAATATGTAGGGCTTTTATTGTGAAAAACTCCTGTGTGTATGTACAAATATGTAGGGCTTTTATTGTGAAAAACTCCTGTGTGTATGTACAAATATGTAGGGCTTTTATTGACAAAAACACCTTAAAAGGGTTAAATGAATGGTCTGTGTTAAAGGAATGAAATGAAATGCTGTTGTGACTTCCACAGGTGAACCAGACCCCAGACTCGTGTCAGGAGACGCGCTTCAAGGTGATCGATCTGGAGGACGGCGCTCGGTACTTCTTCAGGGCGATGGCAGTGAACGCCGCTGGAGAGTCAGACCCCGCTGATCTGAAGGAACCGATCCAAGTGCAGGACAGACTGGGTGAGGACTGGTTACCAGCTGGAACACATTGTAGAGGGTGGATCAATGCATCCTTAATTCTGTGATACATGTTGTGATATCAGAAAATGATTATATACATGACTTTTTTAATGTTTAATAGAATAAGAAAGTTTTAATAAAAAACAACATACTTTGAAATGAGATATTGTGGAATAAAATACTGCTTATTTGTATAAATAATACTGCGACTTCAGGACTTTAAGATGCTTTGTGTGAATTGTGTCAGAGCTGTTAAATAAAGAACTCTTCTTTACTTAAAGTGCATGAACATTAAACCTGTAATCCCCCCCCCCCCCCCCCACAGAGGCCCCAGAGCTCACCCTGGACGCCGCGATGACCCGCGAGGTGAAGGCTCTCGCCGGCACCCACATCGTTCTGATGGCGACCATTACGGGCGTCCCCTTCCCCTCCGTCACCTGGCAGAAGAACGAAGGCGAGGTGCCAACCCGCATCGACATCGACACCAGCCAGACCGGCACCAAGCTGGAGATGAGGTTCTGTCATCGTGGAGACTGCGGCGACTACACGCTGACCGTGGAGAACACGGCCGGGTCCAAGACCGCCACCTGCACCGTGCTCGTGTTCGGTGAGGAAACACACTTCAGATTTAACACGAGAGAGAGAGAGAACTTTTACCCTTGAAGCATTTACCTAAACATTTTATACATAAAAACATTTCCCTGTAAAACTCTAACCATCTTCAATCCAACACTATGACTTAACATGATTCTGCCGCCGCTCGTGTTCCCAGATAAACCCGGTCCCATCCAACACCTTCGGGTGTCGGACGTGCGCAGCGACTCGGCCTACCTGTCCTGGAAAGACCCCGAGGATAACGGCGGCGTCCGCATCACTAACTTCGTGGTGGAGAAGAAGGACTCTGCGGCCACCCAGTGGGTCCCGCTGTGCTCCACCTCCAAGAAGCGCAGCATGATGCTGAAGCACCTGATGGAGGGAACCTCCTACAACTTCCGCGTGGCAGCCGAGAACCAGTACGGCCGAAGCGAATACACGGAGACCAGTAAGGCCGTCAAGGCCATGAACCCACTCTGTGAGTAACGGCAGAAAGATTTTTATATTTATTAAGATATATGTTTTTTACATTTAGATATACTTTTTATATAGATTTAGATTCATACTCCTAAAATGGAAAATGCTAATTAGATATCCTCACACTGTCTTGAATTAGTCAAAACTAAAATAATTGACATATGTAGTTGTAGTTTTGGTATATAAAACTCACACTGATGCTAAAACTGAATGTCTTTCCCTCCAGTCCCCCCCGGTCCTCCCAAAGACCTGCACCACGACGACGTGGACAAGACAGAGGTGTGGTTGGTCTGGAACTGGCCTGACCGCAACGGAGGAAGTGACATCACCGGCTTCCTGGTGGAGTACCAGGAGGAGGGAGAGAGGGAGTGGGACGAGTGGAAGACGGTGAGCATCCCAGAGAGTCATGTGACCGGCCTGGAGGAGGGCAAGACCTACCGCTTCAGAGTCCGGGCCGAGAACGCCATCGGACTCAGCAGACCAGACACCACCTTGCCCATCCTGTGCCAGGAGAAACTGGGTGAGTCCAGCACTCTATCACGTCTAATGAGGATTCTTTCATGAAAACCTCAGTTCACTAACAAAAGTTAGTTTGTCCCGGTTTAAGTTACCTAAACGAAATTGGTAATTTTAGGGGTGAAGTATTCCTTTAATATTGGGGCTCGAAGAAATGTCATTGTTTCACATCTATTTAGTAAACTATAGGGATACTCAGTGTGTTTCCATCGAGTGTTATGTTGGGTAACCTCCTCTGTCTGTTTGCCCACAGTCGCTCCCATCCTGGAGGTTGACGTTAAGCTCACTGAAGGCATCATCGTGAAGGCCGGCACCACCATCAGGCTGCCCGCCATCATGAGAGGAATTCCTATCCCCATTGCCAAGTGGATGGTGGAGGGAGAGGAGATCACCACCGAGGGCAACGTCAAGATCGATACCGACAACTTCTCCACCGTGCTCAGCATCAACGAATGCACCAGGAGCCACACCGGCTCCTACCTGCTCTCCGTGAGCAACCCAGCCGGAACCAAGACCGCCGCCCTGAGCGTCACGGTGCTGGATGTTCCCGCCGCTCCCATCGGACCCGTCAACATCCTGGAGGTCACTCCAGAGTCTATGATGATTGAATGGCGTCCTCCCAAGGACGACGGCGGCAGCGCTGTCACCGACTACATCGTGGAGAAGAGGGAGTCCAACAAGGAGACCTGGGGAGGGGTGAGCTCCGGCAGCCTCTCTACCAAAGTCAACATCATCCGCCTCCAGAAGGGAGTGGAGTACGTGGTCCGCATTCGTGCCCAGAACAAGATGGGCGTCGGTGCTGCTCTGGAGAGCAAGCCCACTGTGGCCGAGCACACCTTCCTTCCTCCCAGCCCGCCAGGTACACCACATGCCACTGATGTCGCAGAGGACTCTGTCACAGTGGGCTGGACCATGCCTCTGTCCGACGGGGGCAGCCAGATCTCCGGGTACCTGATCGAGCGCAGACACAAGGGAGGAAAGTGGATCCGTGTGAACAGGACTCCCTGCAAAGACATGAAGTACACAGTCCTTGGTCTGTTTGAAGGCAACGAGTATGAGTTCAGAGTGTTTGCTGAGAATATCGCCGGCTACAGCAGCCCCTCTCCCACCTCTGACCTCTGCAAGCCCTGCAGACCCATCACGGCCCCCGGCCCCCCTGTCAACCCCAAAGTTAAAGACTACAGCAAGGACACTGCCTACCTGGTGTGGACCAAACCCAACAAAGACGGAGGCAGCCCCATCATGGGCTACACCGTGGAAATGAAGAAGGCTGACACTGAGGATTGGCAAAAGGTGAACCTGGACGACTTCATCAAGCATTCCGCTTACACTGTGAAGGGTCTGGAGGAGGGAGCCACGTACAACTTCAGGATCTTCGCCTCCAACATGATCGGAGATGGCGAGTCCAAAGAGATCCCGAAGTCCGTCACCGCTCAGGACATCCTGATCCCTCCAGAGATCGAGATGGACCTCTCCTGCCGCGAGCGCCTCACTGTGCGCGTCGGACACAACATCAACATGATGGGCTACATCAAGGCCCGCCCCGAGGCTGAGGTGCTTTGGTCGAAGGAGGAGGTGGTTCTGGAGAACAGCAAACGGGTCACCATCACTCAGAACTTCCCTCTGGTCCACCTGAAGATCAAGGAGGCCACAAGAGCGGACCATGGCAAATACGTCCTGAAGGCTTCCAATGAAGGAGGCGAGGCTTCCTGCACCATCACAGTCAATGTGCTGGACAGACCCAGCCACTGCCAGAACCTGCACGTGACCTACGCCACCAAGGACTCCTGCATGCTGAACTGGGAGACGCCTGGAGACAACGGTGGATCTGAAATCACCAACTACGTGGTGGAGTGCCGTGAGCCTAGCACCAGCATGTGGTCCATGATCACCTCCCTCTGCACCAACCGCAAGATCAAGGTCAAGCTGATGGACGGCAAAGAGTACCTGTTCCGCGTCAGCGCCGTGAACAAGATGGGCGCCGGTCCCACCATGGAGACCAAGACCCCTCTGCTGGCCATCGACCCCATCGAGAATCCCGGAGAGCCTGAGAACTTCAGAGCCACGGACATTGGTAAGAACTACGTCTATCTGAGATGGAGGAAGCCCGACTTTGATGGCGGCAGCCCCAACATTTCATACAACCTGGAGTGCAAATCCAAGGATGCTGAGGACTGGGAGAAACTCAACACCACCACCCTCACTGACACCTTCTTCCTGGCTGACAAGTGCAAAGAGAACCAGACCTACACCTTCAGGTAGGTTACTGCATGACAGGAGGGTTGAAAGAACAGACTGTAGGCTTTGAAGTCTGTTGGCTTACCTAGTGAAAATGACTTACTAATAATTCTTATCATTTGTCTCTCAGGGTGCAGACCATCAATGAAGGAGGTGAAAGTGCTTGGGTGAAACTCGCTGATATTCTGGTAAAGGAGGAGATCCTGAAGCCCGTCATCGACCTGAAGTTGGCCGGAGTTCTGACGGTGAAGGTCGGAGATTCTGTGAGGATCGAGGCCAGCCTGAGAGGAAAACCCGCGCCGGAGGTCAAATGGATCAAAGAAAAGGCCGTCGGGGACAACCCCAGAATCAGCTACGAGACCGGACCTGACTATTCCAAGTTCCTTCTCACCAAGTCCAGACGCACGGACACCGGAAAGTTCATCATCACCGCCACCAACGTGGCCGGCACCTTCACGGCGTACGCTAACATCAACGTCCTGGACGTCCCGGGCCCAGTGAGGAACCTCAGGGTCACCGGCATCGGGGCCGACAAGTGCAGAGTGGTGTGGGACCCGCCGGAGGACGAGGGAGGCTGCGAGGTGGACAGCTACATCCTGGAGAAATGCGAGACCAGGAGGATGGTTTGGTCCACGTACTCCGCCTCGGTGGTCACACCATACTGCAACGTGATCCGTCTGGTGGAGGGTAACGAGTACATCTTCAGAGTGAAGGCAGAGAACAAGATGGGCACTGGCCCCGCCATGGAGAGCAAGCCTGTCACCGTCAAGACTCAGTTCAACAAACCTGGACCCCCAGAAGCCCCCGACGTCACCAAGGTACGCAAAACACTTCCTGTGCTGTACCTTTTTCTATAATTAGCTACATTTGATCCTGGTTTCTGCTTCCACAGGATTAGGTGGACGCCAGTTATTATTATTCTATAACTTTAAGATAACTATTTGGACAGCGTTGTCATTACTTTAGCTAACTATTTGTACTGCTGTTACTCACACTCTCCACACCTCCGTGATCCAGGTCAGTAAAGAAGAGATGACCGTTGTCTGGGCTCCCCCCGAGAACGACGGAGGAAAGTCCATCACCGGCTACATCCTGGAGAGGAAGGAGAAGAGAGCCGTCCGCTGGGTGCCGTGCACCAAGAGCCCCATCTCTGAGAGACGCATGAAGGTCACCAACCTGATCCCCAACCACGAGTACCAGTTCAGGGTGAAGGCCGAGAACGAGGTGGGCCTGGGAGAACCCAGCAAGGCCTGCAGACCCGTCGGAGCCAAAGATCCCATCGGTAAGTCTGTGGTTCTTTGAGATGAATCAAAGACTCAAAGGCGTTATCATCATATGCATCGTAGCTATCGTGTAGATATGCAAATCTGTGTTTCTGTGTGTCCCTGCAGAGCCCCCTGGTCCCCCTGCTTTCCTGAAGGTGGGCGACAGCACAAAGACCTCCATCACCCTGACCTGGTCCAAGCCAGTGTACGACGGTGGTGCTCCCATCATCAACTACAGCCTGGACCTCAGGCTGAAGACCGATGTGGATCCCGAGAACCCCTCGGTGGGGTGGAAGAGGATCGACACCAACGGCCCGCTGGTGCTCACAGAGTTCACCATCGGACAGCTGGACGAGAAGCTAGAGTACGACTTCAAGGTGTCCGCCCAGAACCAGATGGGCTGGGGACGCCACGCCTACCTTAAGGAATCCGTGTCCCCCAAGGAGATCATTGGTAAGAACTGACATTCAATACGATACGATAAAAGTCTGTTTCCAGCTCATAGAGTCCTGTTGTGAACCGGGAAATGTTGAGGACCCCAAATTGTCTAAATGAATAGTAGGGTCCCCAGCAAATAGAAACTGCCGGATGCTAACCTGCATGTTGGGTAATTTGCACAATTAGGGTTAATTCCGGTTTGGACCGTTTTAGAGTGGTTTCTGGGGTTATTGAGGACGCTGAATCCATTTCTGAAATGTTCAGCATCAGAAATGGCAGTTCTAACCAGAAAGTGGCCATATACGTGCTCTCTGTGGGTCGATTGAACTCAATATAGTTACTGTATCACTGCAGATAGCCTTATTCGGGCATTGTCAGTGAAACTGGGAAACAACGCATGGTGTTTTTGAAACTTCAGTGTAGAGCACTTTGATGTTTCAGGGTTAGACATTAAGGGAAACACGGTCTGTTTATGATCTCACATCCTGCTAACCTCTCTCCTGTGTTTGCTGCTGCAGAGGCTCCAGAGATCGACCTGGATGCCAGTCTGAGGAAGGGTCTGTCTGTGAGGGCCGGCTGCCCCATCAGGCTGTTCGCCGTCGTCAGAGGACGACCCTCGCCTAAGGTCACGTGGAAACGCCTCGGCGTGGACAACGTGATCCGCCGTGGACACGTGGACCAGGTGGACAGCATGTCCTTCCTCGTCATCCCCGAAAGCACCAGAGAGGATTCTGGGAGATACTCGCTGACTCTGTCCAACTCGGCCGGAGAGAAGGCCGTGTACGTCCGCGTCAAAGTCCTCGGTGAGAAACATAACAACACATTTATCCACAACCAACATTTTACTTTATCATGCTATAGCACCCATATTTAGTTTGAGACAGTTTGATTCATTGATTTATGAAACTGTCCCACAATGTTCTAATATTTTATAGTATATGCATTTAGTAAACACCAAGGAAAATGGACGTCTTCATCTGAACATATTTTTAGGAATATACAAATGCAATAATAACGTCCCAAAAATGCGGGAACTTTTAAAGGCTGTTACGTACAACGTTTTGAACATATTACAAAAAGAGGTGTTATTACATAATGACATTTGTTTACATCCCTTGAAAAGAAAATGTGTCTGATCAAAGCATATTTGAATCCCCCCTCGCAGACACCCCCGGCCCTGTTGGCGGCCTGGAGGCGACGAACATCACGAAGACAAGCGCGCAGCTGTCATGGCTGCCGCCCGATAACGACGGCGGAAGCCAGATCCTGAACTACATCGTGGAGAAGCGCGAGGTGGACCGGAAGACATGGAACAAGTGCATCGAGGACCTGAGGAAGACCAGCTTCAAGGTGTCCAACATGACGCCCGGCATCGAGTACTACTTCAGAGTCACCGCCTGCAACCAGTACGGCATCGGAGTCCCGCAGGACTCGCCCAAATCCTACCTGGCCGTCGACCCCATCAGTGAGTAGAAAACCATTCTGAGACATGGACAGGACAATAAGACTTGCATTATTATTATTTCTTCTGTGAATGAGAAGACTTTAAACTAATGTATAGATATGTATATCTATACGTCGTACATATAGTGAACGTTTTCTAGTTTCTTTTGAAATGTTTGCCCCCAGGTAAACCTAAAAGCTGCTGTGTTCCTCTCTCTCTGAGTTCTTTCCTTTATCTTACCTAACCCGCGCACTCCCCTCCCCCCAGGTGAGCCAGACCCCCCGAAGAAGATGGACGTGTTGGACATCACGAAGAACAGCGCCACGCTGGGCTGGCTGAAGCCGCTCAGAGACGGCGGGGCCAAGATCAACGGCTACGTGGTGGACTACCAGGAGGAGGGCGCCGCAGAGGACAAGTGGACGCCGTACTCCGTGGTGAAAGACATGAGCATCGTGGTGGTGGGCCTGAAGGAGAACATCAAGTACAAGTTCAGGGTCGCTGCCAGGAACTCAGTGGGGGTCAGTCTGGCCCGCGAGGCCGAAGGGATCTTCGAGGTCAAAGAGCAGCTCAGTGAGTACAGCACACACCTCAGACTGTAGAGAAACCTGGATATGAGACAGCATTATGAGTCCTGAAACCCTGAAGTTAGTTAGCTTTATAAGTCTTAAAGACCCCGACATGAGTCAGCAATATGAGTCCTGAAACCCTGAAGTTAGTTAGCTTTATAAGTCTTAAAGACCCCGACATGAGTCAGCAATATGAGTCCTGAAACCCTGAAGTTAGTTAGCTTTATAAGTCTTAAAGACCCCGACATGAGTCAGCAATATGAGTCCTGAAACCCTGAAGTTAGTTAGCTTTATAAGTCTTAAAGACCCCGACATGAGTCAGCAATATGAGTCCTGAAACCCTGAAGTTAGTTAGCTTTATAAGTCTGAAAGACCCTGACATGAGTCAGCAATATGAGTCTTAAAAACCCAGACATGAGTCAGCAATATGAGTCTTAAAAACCCAGACATGTGTCAGTAATATGAGTCTTAAAAACCCAGACATGTGTCAGCAATATGAGTCTTAAAAACCCAGACATGAGTCAGCAATATGAGTCCTGAAACCCTGAAGTTAGTTAGCGTTATAAGTCTTATAGTCCCCGACGTGAGTCAGCAATATGAGTCTTAAAAACCCAGACATGAGTCAGCAATATGAGTCCTGAAACCCTGAAGTTAGTTAGCGTTATAAGTCTTATAGTCCCCGACGTGAGTCAGCAATATGAGTCTTAAAAACCCAGACATGAGTCAGCAATATGAGTCCTGAAACCCTGAAGTTAGTTAGCGTTATAAGTCTTATAGTCCCCGACGTGAGTCAGCAATATGAGTCTTAAAAACCCAGACATGAGTCAGCAATATGAGTCCTGAAACCCTGAAGTTAGTTAGCGTTATAAGTCTTATAGTCCCCGACGTGAGTCAGCAATATGAGTCCTGAAACCCTGAAGTTAGTTAGCGTTATAAGTCTTATAGTCCCCGACGTGAGTCAGCAATATGAGTCCTTCAACCCTGAAGTTAGTTAGCGTTATAAGTCTTATAGTCCCCGACGTGAGTCAGCAATATGAGTCTTAAAAACCCAGACATGAGTCAGCAATATGAGTCCTGAAACCCTGAAGTTAGTTAGCGTTATAAGTCTTATAGTCCCCGACGTGAGTCAGCAATATGAGTCTTAAAAACCCAGACATGAGTCAGCAATATGAGTCCTGAAACCCTGAAGTTAGTTAGCGTTATAAGTCTTATAGTCCCCGACGTGAGTCAGCAATATGAGTCTTAAAAACCCAGACATGAGTCAGCAATATGAGTCCTGAAACCCTGAAGTTAGTTAGCGTTATAAGTCTTATAGTCCCCGACGTGAGTCAGCAATATGAGTCCTGAAACCCTGAAGTTAGTTAGCGTTATAAGTCTTATAGTCCCCGACGTGAGTCAGCAATATGAGTCCTTCAACCCTGAAGTTAGTTAGCGTTATAAGTCTTATAGTCCCCGACGTGAGTCAGCAATATGAGTCCTAAAACCTTTAAATGAATCAACATTATGCGTCTTAAAACCGTGAAATAAGTGGGTCTTTTGTGTCCTGAAACCTCGAAATGAGTCAGCAATATGAGTCCTCAAACCCTGACATGAGTCGGCAGTGTGAGTCCTAATACTTAATACAAGAGTTAGCATTTTAGCACTTAAAGCTCTCCTCTCATTGTCTCATATGCTGATGAAAATAAAGCTTCTTATATTTAGTTTTCTGGAGGGACCTTTGAGTGACTGTCCTTCCTCTCCCTGCAGTGGCTCCGAAGGTGATGACTCCGGACATCGTGTCGGTGCGAGCCGGATCTAAGATGGTTCTGGAGGCCATCGTGGCCGGGAAGCCCGCTCCCTTCTGCAAGTGGAAGCAGGGCAACGAGGACGTGCTGACCTCCGACCGCCTGTCCGTGGTGAAGACGCTCACCAGCTGCACCCTCATCACCAAGAACGTGAAGCGGGAGGACAGCGGCTACTACAGCCTGTCCGCAGAGAACAGCAGCGGACGGGTCAACCAGATCATCAAGGTCACCGTCATGGGTCAGTAACACTCGTCCTAATATGGGAATATTCAGGAATCACACACTGTATCAAAGGGAAAGCAGGACTGCTTGAAAAAGGAGGTATATTTGAGAACATTCAGAAAAAAATAATGAAAAAAGTCAGATTTTTCCAAAAATCGAAATTTTGGAAGAAAAAATACAGAATTTCAAGAAAAATCTAAATGTTGAGAAAAAGTTAAAAAAAATAAAAAGTCAATTTCTAAAAACAAATTGTTGAAAAAGTCCGAAATTTAGAAAAAAAAATCTGAATTTAGAGAAAAAGTTAAAACTCAACATTTTGAGAATATTGGAGAAAAAAGTCAATATTTTTGAAATGTTTATAAAAAGTTAGATTCATGCGAAAAAGTCATTTCTTTGGGAAAAGTCAGAATTTTTTGAAAAAAATACATAATTTCGAGAAAAGTAAAAAGTAACATTTTTAATAAAAAGTAAGTTTTAAGAAACTTTAAAAAAAAAAAAAAAAAAAATAGAAAAAACGTAAACATTTTGAGATGATTGATTATTGATTATTGAGGAAAAGTTGGCGACAATTAAAAAAAATCGGCAAAAAGTCAGAATATATTTCAGGTTAAAGTCATTCATAACTCGTACATTACCGCTTCTCTCTGTCCCTGCAGATATCCCCGGGCCCCCCGAGGCCCCCCTGGAGGTGACGGAGGTGGATGTGGACGGATGCACCCTGCTTTGGGGGTCGCCCCAGGAGGACGGAGGCAGCAACATCACCAACTACATCGTGGAGAAGTGTGACGTGAGTCAGGGAGACTGGACCATGCTCACCTCCTCCTGCACCAAGACCAGCTTCAAGGTCCCCAAGCTGTGTCTGGGCAAAGAGTACGGCTTCAGGGTCCGCGCAGAGAACAGGTTCGGCATCTCAGCGCCCATCTACTCCGAGAAGATGATCGCCAGGTGTCCGTTCGGTGAGTCCGGGACAATGTTTATAAAGCTTTGTAGAGAACTGCAGGAATAACGAGTCAGCATTACGAGTCTTAAAGCAACAAATATTTCAGCATTATGAGACCCAAAAAACTGATATGAGTCAGCATTATCAGTCCTACAACCCTGAATTAAGTCTGCATTATGAGCTGTAACACTGTGGTATGAGTCAGCATTATCAGTCCTGAAACCCTGAATTAAGTCTGCATTATGAGCTGTAACACTGTGGTATGAGTCAGCATTATCAGTCCTAAAACCCTGAATTAAGTCAGCATTAATGTCCTGAAACTCAGAAGTGAGTCCGAATGAATTTAAAATCTGCAGTTTTACAGCTCTAACTGTTAACCCCCCCCCTACAGACCCCCCCAGCGAGCCCCTGAATCTGCAGATCAACAGGATCAACAAGGACTACGTCATCCTGTCCTGGGAGCGCCCCAGCAGCGATGGAGGCTCCCCTCTGACAGGATTCGTCATCGAGAAGAAGGAGCGTAACAGCCTGCTGTGGATGAGGGCCAACGAGTCGTTGGTGAAGGCCACGCAGTACACCTGCAGCGGGCTGATGGAGGGCGTGGAGTACACCTTCAGGGTGGCCGCGCTCAACATGGCCGGACAGGGGAAACCCTGCAAGCAGACCGACATCATCATCGCCAGGACCGCCATCGGTACGAGACACTCACACGTCATCTTTCAAGTTAGAGAAACAGGAGCATTGTTACAAAGCTGGGGGAAAGACGCTTATTCGAAAAAAGTCAAAGAAAAAAAACATGTCATATTTTTGAGACACTACTTGTTTGGTTTATTGTACTTTTACACCGACCTTCTTCACTGTTCAGACTAACTAACCGAGTGTACCCCCCCCCCACACAGACCCCCCCGGTAAGCCCGAGGTGATGGACGTGACGAAGCACTCTGTGTCTCTGGTGTGGAGCCGCCCGGCGAACGACGGCGGCAGCAAGCTGATCGGATACTACATGGAGTACATGAAGCTGCCGGAGGAGAAGTGGACGCGCTGCAACGCCAATTGCATGAGCATCCAATCAGAGAGCTACACGGTGAGCGGGCTGGACGAGGGCCAGCAGTACCAGTTCAGGGTCATCGCCAGGACCGCCATCAACACCAGCCTGCCCTCCGAGCTGTCGGACAAGATCCCCGTCATCGCAGAGCACGGTACGAACTCTACCAACTATCATTCATTAACACTTATCCTTAAAGGGAAGACCGGCCCCTTACGGGAAACTGATTGATCAGAGCACGGTACGAACTCTGAGCATTCAGTTTTCGATTATATTAATTATTATTATTATCATATTAACAGTTTTCCTTAATGGAAAGACCCGCCCCTTTCTCGTCATAAGCTTCCTTAAAGCATAAAGTTACTACATGGGGAGTTTTATTTTGAAAAACAAATCTCATCCTAAGTTTAGTAAGTATGCAATTACTCTATGGTGCTTTTATTTTGAAAAACAAGCCTGGCCTTCGCTTCCTGTAAGGATCAAGTGATTTTTTTAGGGTTTTCATTTGAATTGAAATGCCTCATGCTTCACATCTTACTTCATTTCAGGAAAGCACAGACTCTCCCCGTACAGTTACTCTATGGGGCTTTTATTTTGAAAAATCAGACTTCGGAAAGATTTTGAATGCAGGACTTTTTCTTGTAACAGAGTATTTTAAATGTATTATTGCTACTTTTGCTTAAGTTAAAAGTCTGAGTACTTAATAAATAACTGAATATAATAACCATTCCCCCTCCTCTCGGTGCAGTTCCCCCCCGCGTGGAACTGGGTCTGGATATGAAGAACCTGATCGTGGTGAAGGCCGGAGAGAACGTGTCCATGGAAGCCGAGGTGTTCGGCAAACCGATCCCCAAAGTGACCTGGATGAAGGACAGCGCTGTGGTGCACGTGGAGGGCATGAAGCTGAGCCAGAAGAAGCACCAATACATGCTGGACCTGTTCTGCGTCACCAGGAAAGAGTCCGGTGACTACAGCATCCACGCAGAGAACCCCAGCGGGTCCAAGTACGCCACCATCAAGGTCAAGGTGCTCGGTGAGTCAAGAGGTCTTCAGAGGGGTCTTTTAGCAGGATAAGTGTGGAATAGATCAGATTTGAGCTCCTTGTCATTGCTAGTACTAAACAACGAAATGCAGTTAGCATCTAACCATTGGAGGCGTGTGGCGCATTGGATTAGTGCCTTGGTGTTGGGATCAGGGGGTCACAGGTTCAAACCCCACTGCAGTCAGCATGTCGTTGTGTCCCTGAGACACTTCACCCCAAAGTGCTCCTGTGGGGATTGTCCTCAGTATTGAGTATGTAAGTCGCTTTGGATAAAAGCCTCTAACAAGTAACATGTAATGTAATGTAACCAGAAAGTGCAAAACAGTAAGAGAAAAGTCAGTCACTGAGGATACGATACGATAGGATAGGATAGGATACGATAGGATACGATAGGATACGATAGGATACGATAGGATACGATACGATAGGATACGATAGGATACGATAGGATACGATAGGATACGATAGGATACGATACGATAGGATACGATAGGATACGATAGGATACGATAGGATACGATAGGATACGATAGGATAGGATACGATACGATACGATAGGATACGATAGGATACGATAGGATACGATAGGATAGGATACGATAGGATACGATAGGATACGATAGGATACGATAGGATACGATACGATACGGATACGATAGGATACGATAGGATACGATAGGATACGATAGGATACGATAGGATACGATACGATACGATAGGATACGATTAGGATACGATACGATAGGATACGACTAGGATACGGATAGGATACGATAGGATACGATAGATACGATAGGATACGATAGGTATGTAGGATACGATAGGATACGATACGATAGGATACGATAGGATACGATAGGATACGATAGGATACGATAGGATACGATACGATAGGATAAGATAGGATACGATAGGATACGATACGATAGGATACGATAGGATACGATAGGATACGATACGATAGGATACGATAGGATACGATAGGATACGATAGGATACGATAGGATACGATAGGATACGATAGGATAGGATACGATAGGATACGATAGGATAGGATACGATAGGATAGGATAGGATAGGATAGGATAGGATAGGATACGATAGGATACGATAGGATACGATAGGATAGGATACGATAGGATACGATAGGATAGGATACGATAGGATAGGATAGGATACGATAGGATACGATACGATAGGATACGATAGGATACGATACGATACGATAGGATACGATAGGATACGATAGGATACGATAGGATAGGATACGATACGATACGATAGGATACGATAGGATACGATACGATACGATACGATAGGATACGATAGGATACGATAGGATACGATACGATACGATACGATAAGATACGATAGGATACGATAGGATACGATAGGATACGATACGATAGGATACGATAGGATACGATACGATAGGATACGATACGATACGATAGGATAGGATAGGATACGATAGGATACGATACGATACGATACGATAGGATAGGATAGGATACGATAGGATACGATAGGATACGATACGATAGGATACGATAGGATAGGATAGGATAATACTTTAATGGTCAGATCAAGTCTGAAATGTGTTGTTCAGGGTTCAGACAGGAGAGAGCTGAGGGTTGAGAGTTTCCTGTAGCGCCTCCTAGAGGACAGGAGATGTGTGGTAGGGAATATGTGAGAGATCGGGTCTTTGAGCAGTATTAGTGTTGACCTGTAGCGCCTCCCAGAGGAGAGCAGAGGGAATAATGTGATCGATTTAACAGGATTAACGAGGCTCTTCCCCCTCCTGCAGATAAACCCGGCCGCCCCGCCAGTTGGACATTTTCGAAAAGTTAAAATGTTTATAGAAGTCAGAATTTAAGAAAAGTCAGCATTTTGAGAACAATTCAAAATGTTAAGAGAAAAGTCAGAATTTTGATAAAAGTCAGAATGTATTTCAGGTTAAAGTCATTCATAACTCCCGTCATGGTGAAGAATCCCTACGGTACAATCAGAGTCTACTTCAGGAACAGACAAATGTGTGCTTTTTTCAACAACAACAAAATATTGAGAAAAAAGTCGGAATTTTGAGCAAAAGTCAGAATTTGAGAAAAGTCAGATTGTTTTTTAGAAAAAGTCAGAATATTTGAAATTTTGAAAAATAAGTCAACATTTTGAGAAAAAGGATTAACAAAGCTCCTCCCCCCCTGCAGATAAACCCGGCCCCCCCGCCTCGGTGAAGATCGCCAAGGTGTTCTGTGACCGTGTGAAGCTGCGCTGGGAACCCCCCATCGCTGACGGAGGATCAGAGATCACAAACTACATCATGGAGAAGAGAGAGACCAGCAGAGCCAACTGGGCTCTGGTGAGCTCGAACATCCACGGACACAACACAGACTCTCTGGTGGAGAAACTCATCGAGGGCCACGAGTACGAGTTCAGGGTCAGCGCGGAGAACCAGTACGGGGTGGGAGACGCCATCATGACCGACCCCGTCATGGTGAAGAACCCCTACGGTAAGGACCGGGTCTACTTCAGGAACAGAGACATTTGTGCTTTTATCAACAAAAACAAATTGAGAAAAAAGTCTGAATTTTGAGAAAAAGTCCACATTTTTTTTAGAAAAAAGTCAGAATCTGAGAAAAGTCAACATTTTGAGAAAAGTCTGAATGTATTTCAGGTTAAAGTCATTCATAACCCCCGTCATGGTGAAGAAGCCCTATGGTAGTGTTTCAGGAACAGAGAAATAAGTGCCTTTATCAACAAAAAAGAAATTTGAGAAAAAAGTCTGAATTTGAGAAAATAATATATTTTTTAAAAGAAGTCAGAATTTGAGAAAAGTTAAAAAAAGGTTTTTCTTTTAGAAAAAGTCAGAATTGTTTAAACGGTAGAACAGATCAGTGAGCGGGTCAAACTGACAGTATTAACCTTATTGAGCATATTTCATCATATATTTGTTTCCCCCTCACTCCCATTGCTCCCTGGGCGCTGTACAATAGCTGCTAGACTCCTGGCTCTAGACTCCTGGTACTAGACTCCTGGTTCTAGACTCCTGGTTCTAGACTCCTGGTACTAGACTCCTGGCACTAGACTCCTGGTTCTAGACTCCTGGTTCTAGACTCCTGGTACTAGACTCCTGGTTCTAGACTCCTGGCACTAGACTCCTGGCACTAGACTCCTGGTTCTAGACTCCTGGTACTAGACTCCTGGCACTAGACTCCTGGTTCTAGACTCCTGGTTCTAGACTCCTGGTACTAGACTCCTGGTTCTAGACTCCTGGTACTAGACTCCTGGCACTAGACTCCTGGTACTAGACTCCTGGTGCTAGACTCCTGGCACTAGACTCCTGGTACTAGACTCCTGGTTCTAGACTCCTGGTACTAGACTCCTGGTTCTAGACTCCTGGTACTAGACTCCTGGCACTAGACTCCTGGTTCTAGACTCCTGGTGCTAGACTCCTGGCACTAGACTCCTGTTACTAGACTCCTGGTTCTAGACTCCTGGTTCTAGACTCCTGGTTCTAGACTCCTGGTACTAGACTCCTGGTACTAGACTCCTGGTTCTAGACTCCTGGTACTAGACTCCTGGTTCTAGACTCCTGGTGCTAGACTCCTGGTTCTAGACTCCTGGTGCTAGACTCCTGGTTCTAGACTCCTGGTACTAGACTCCTGGTACTAGACTCCTGGTTCTAGACTCCTGGTACTAGACTCCTGGTTCTAGACTCCTGGTGCTAGACTCCTGGTGCTAGACTCCTGGTTCTAGACTCCTGGTTCTAGACTCCTGGTACTAGACTCCTGGTTCTAGACTCCTGGTACTAGACTCCTGGTTCTAGACTCCTGGCTCTAGACTCCTGGTTCTAGACTCCTGGTACTAGACTCCTGGTGCTAGACTCCTGGTGCTAGACTCCTGGTTCTAGACTCCTGGTTCTAGACTCCTGGTACTAGACTCCTGGTACTAGACTCCTGGTGCTAGACTCCTGGTTCTAGACTCCTGGTTCTAGACTCCTGGTACTAGACTCCTGGTGCTAGACTCCTGGCTCTAGACTCCTGGTACTAGACTCCTGGTGCGAGACTCCTGGTGCTAGACTCCTGGTACTAGACTCCTGGTGCTAGACTCCTGGTACTAGACTCCTGGTGCTAGACTCCTGGTGCTAGACTCCTGGTGCTAGACTCCTGGCTCTAGACTCCTGGTACTAGACTCCTGGTGCTAGACTCCTGGTGCTAGACTCCTGGTACTTAACCTCTGTTATTGATCATATCTAATCATATCTCCTCCCTCAGACGTCCCTGGGCCCTGCGAGCCGCCCGTCATCACCAACATCACCAAGGACTCCATGACGGTGAGCTGGAAGGCGCCGGCAAACGACGGCCGCGCCTCCATCCTGGGCTACATGGTGGAGAGGCGCGAGGCCACAGAGCTGGCCTGGGCCAAGGTCAACCGACGACCCGTCATCGACCGCTCCATCAAGGCGGTGCAGCTGAGCGAAGGGTCCGAGTACGAGTTCAGGGTCATCGCGCTCAACAAGGCGGGGCCGGGGAAACCCAGCGACGCCTCCAACGGAGCGCTGGCCTTAGACCCCGTCTGTGAGTTACCGCTTTAGAGAGATGATCTGATGTGCTTAGATTACAATGTACAGGGAGGGACATGTTCATTTTAAAGGTCTCCTATCATGCAAAATGCACTTTCTGATGTCTTTTATACATAAATGTGTGTCCCCGGTGTGTCCCCGGTGTGTCCCCGGTGTGTCAGGAGACTCACAACGTGCCAGAAAACAAAACTCTTTTCCTCCGTACCCAAATCTCTAAAAACGAATTCTGAGCAGGCATTAGCTCCCCCTCCTCTTTTGAAAAATGATTTTAGCACTTTAGTAACAGGGCTGAAAGAGAGGGGGATGAGGCTAGAATACATGATCTGTTTGGTATTTTGAGCAAAACACTTCAGAGACATGTTTTTTATATGTCTGAGACTTATAATATAAGCCTAAAAATAGTATAATAGGCGACCTTTAAGCAAATTAAAATCCCACTTTGACGTTTAAAAGGTGCAATTTCTTTCCCTATGAACTATGAGAATAATGCCTAATATGACCCTTTATTCCTGCAGACCCCCCTGGTCCTCCTGCCTTCCCGAAGGTGGTGGACTCGACCCGCTCCTCCGTCAGCCTCAGCTGGACCAAGCCGGCGTACGATGGCGGCTGCGAGATCATCGGCTACCTGGTGGAGTGTAAGCGTGTGGACGGAGAACACTGGAACAAGTGCAACATCCCCAAGAAGCTGCAGGAGACGCGCTTCCTGGCGACCGGACTGATGGACGACGCAGAGTACCAGTTCAGGGTCATCGCGGTCAACAAGATCGGCTTCAGCGAGCCCAGCGAGGTCCCCGGGAACCACACGCCCAAAGACATCCTGAGTAATTATATATCATTACTGTTTTCACACCATGGTTAGTTTTAGATATTCAGATAAGTGTTCTGTCTCCACTGGAAGCTATACAGAGGTGGGAAGGAACTAAGTGCCTTTACTCAAGTACTTAAGTACAATTTTGAGGTACTTTACTTGAGTATTTCAATGTTATGTTACTGTGTAGTTCTACTCCACTGCAGTTCAGAGGTAGTGAATAATAATGAGTGAGTTTTGAGAGATGTTTGACCCTTGCATTAACCCCCCCTCCCCCCCCCTGCAGTCGCCCCTGAGGCGGAGCTGGATGCTGACCTGAGGAAGGCTCTGGTCCTGAGGGCGGGGGTCACCATGAGGGTCTACGTCCCTCTGAGGGGCCGCCCGGCGCCCAAAGTGACGTGGTCCAAGGCGGACGCCAACCTGAAGGACCGGCAGGTTCTGATCAAGACGTCGGAGTGGGACACGCTGCTGATGATCGAGGACGTGAACAGATACGACGCCGGGAAGTACATCCTGACTCTGGAGAACAGCAGCGGCTCCAAGAGCTACACCATCGTGGTCAAAGTGCTCGGTGAGGAGATACACATTGTTATGGTGTTAGAGGGGGGGGGGGAACTGGGTTCAGATGGAGGTCAATATAAAGCTTTAAAGGTAGCTTCCTCTCTGTAATGCGTTCAAAACACGAGTCACTCAAAGCATAATCAATGGGTTGTAATCGCGCTTAGAGATGATTTATAAACATACTCATAATGCATTATGAACTCACTTGAAATACATGAACATACTTACATGGGTCATAAACATATTCATTAATAAAGTGTGATAAATATTCTAAGACTGAATGATAAACATAATTGAACGGTTCATAACAGAATCTGATTACTTAACTATGAGATATCAATCAGGATGTTTCCCCCTCTGTTATGTGCATCTGTAACCTGAGTCTTTATACCCCTCCCCCCTCCTCAGATACCCCCAGCCCCCCCCTGAACCTGACAGTGAAGGAGACTTCAAAGACCCACATCTCCATCACCTGGGACTCCCCCCTGCTGGACGGCGGCTCCCCGGTGAAGAGCTACGTGGTGGAGAAGCGTCTGGCGGACAGGAAGGCCTGGACCTGCGTGGCCGCCACCTGCCACAAGATCTCCTACAGGGTGACGGGCCTGGAGGAGGGGCAGGCGTACTGCTTCAGGGTGCTGGCCGAGAACGCGTACGGCATCGGGGAGGGCTGCGAGACCGCCGGCAGCGTGCGGGCCTCAGGTAACACACCAGGGTTTACAGTGGAGAAATACATATGGTTATTTTCATTTGTTTTATTATCAGTAGGGATGCTCCGATCGCCAATTTTGGGGCCGATCGCCGATCGCCGATCGCCGGAATCAGTATCTGCCGATACCGATCGCCGATCCGATCGAGTGGGCGGGGCCTAAATGGAAGATTTAAACATCACTTTAAATCTTCCATTTAAAGTGATGTTTAAATCTCAGTTAATGGGGCTCATTCACTGGAGCTTCCACAAACAACAATCAACTTAATTATTACATTCAAATTATGCATATTATTCAAGTTTACATTCACTTTGGATAATACCACGGGAGAAATGAGCAAGCGCTCTCTTTTCCTCTCTCCCCCTCTCTCTCCCTCTCTCTCTCCCCCTCTCTCCCCCTCTCTCCCTCCCTCTCTCCCTCTCCTGACAGCCCGTCAGTATCGTCTCATGCAGCTCGCTGATCCAGTAATGTGTGAGGCCGACAGTGAAGAATAAACATATTTATAACTAGTGTAGCTTGTTCCAGAGGTAGATAAAATAGCTAAGTGTGTTAGGTCTAACTCTTAGTGTGTGTTCTGCTCCGCTCACCGGTCCGTCACAGCGGGTGGAGCTGCAGGGTTTCTGCTTCACACACACGTTGCATACCGCTATTTTACTGTCTTTTTCGGACACCTTAAAATAATGCCAGACCGGTGAAGCCATTTTGGCGAGCTTGTTTTGCCGCGTACAGAGAAAAGTGTCATGTATTTTACGTCATGCGATCGGCCCTCGCGATCGGCATGTTTAGAGAGCACCGATCGATCGGTAGAGAGTGAGTATCGGCAGATCTCGATCGGTGACCGATCGATCGGAGCATCCCTAATTATCAGCCTTAATATGATTATTAAAAAAAAATGTTTTAGTCTACATTAACTCCACCACAAGTTTGTTTACCACAAAAGTCAAGTTGAGTCTGAACCCCCCTCCCCCCCCCCCCCCCCTGCAGAGCAACCGGGCCCCGTGGCAGAGTTCAAGGCCACGAAGACCACGAAGGACTGCATCGTGCTGGCCTGGAAGAAACCACTGGTCGACGGCGGCAGCTTCGTCACGTCTTACATCCTAGAGCAGAGCGAGGGCGAGGACAAGTGGACGGAGATCCTGAAGGGCAAGACCACCTCCCACACCATGGGGGAGCTCACCGAGGGCACCGAGTACCTGTTCAGGGTCAAGGCCCTCAACCAGTCTGGGGAGGGACCGCCATGCGAGCTCACTGTTATCGCCAAGGACCAGTTCGGTAAGAAACAACCATTTCATTGAATGTATTACCTGGCTTTACCCAAATGTCAGATTTATTTTTCTGCAAATACATTATTAGAATTACAAATAAAGCATTCTTGATTGACAGTCAAATATTCTATGTACAACTCTTTTCAAAATGGCTGATTAATCCCAATCTAACTTTTAGACTGCTGCAATATCTAAATGTCACGCAGAGCTTGTTCTCCAGACAGTGTGGTCCAGATGTTAGTCTAACGTTGACTCTTTGTACCTCAGTGCTGCCTGACTGCAACCTGAGTGCCCTGCATGACGGCTGCTGCGTGGTGAAGGAGGGCAGCACCACCCGCATCAACATCCCGCTCATCGGCACCCCCATCCCCACCGTCACCTGGAAGAAGGGCGACACAGGGATCGGCGACACCGGCAGGATGTGTGTGGAGTCGTCTACGGGCGTCACCACGCTGCTGATCAGAGACTGCCAGAGAGGAGACGCCGAGACCTACAAAATCCACGCCCGCAACAACGCCGGCTCCAAGGAGTGCAAGTTCACTGTGAAGGTGGTGGGCAAACCCGGCATCTGCACCGGACCCATCAAGTTCGACGAGATCACGGCCGACGGCATCACGCTGGAGTGGGGCCCGCCCACAGATGATGGTGGCGCCGAGGTGTCCAACTACATCGTGGAGAAGAGAAGGACCACGGACAACAAGTGGGCCACGGTTGCGTCCGCCCTTCAGAAGACCAGCATGAGGGTGATCCGGCTGCACGACGGCGTGGAGTACATCTTCAGAGTGTTCGCAGAGAACAAGTACGGGGTGGGCGAGTGCCTGAGGTCCGAGCCCGTCATCGCACAGCATCCCTTCAGTGAGTGTCACGTCCTTTGGGTTATTGTGCCTCCATAACACATCTTCAAATCAAATCAAATCAAATCAAGTTTTATTTATAAAGCACATTTAAAAGCGATTTTTGGTCGAGCCAAAGTGCTGTACATGTAATAAAAACACATTACTACAATCACAATAAAAGACAATAAATTACAACAGATATATATAAAAAATAAAACACAGGGAAAAGTCAGGAGTCGTGCTCCGCTCTGACTAGAAGGCCAGAGAGAAGAAGTGTGTTTTTAGTGTAGATTTAAAACCCCCTAGGGTCTGGGCCGACCTCACATGGAGGGGCAGAGTGTTCCAGAGCCTAGGGCCAGCTGCTGAGAAGGCTCGGTGCCCTCTGGTTTTGAGCCTGGTCTTGGGCACTACCAGCAGTAGCTGGTCAGCAGACCTTAAAGCTCTGGCTGGGGTGTAGCGCTGGAGGAGTTCAGCTATATAGGCCGGAGCCAGCCCATTTAGTGCTTTAAAAACAATTAAAGGAGTTTAAAATCAATTCTGAACCGAACTGGAAGCCAGTGCAGTGAGGCCAGAATAGGGGTGATGTGGTCACGCTTTTTGTGGCCAGTCAGCAAACGTGCAGCTGCATTCTGGACTAGCTGCAGGCGTTTAATTGAGGCCTGGTCCATACCCACATACAGAGCGTCGCAGTAGTCCAGTCTCGAGGTTACAAAGGCGTTAATAACCCTTTCTAAGTCATTAAAAGATAAATACGACTTGGTTTTGGCCAATAGCCTTATTTTAAAAAAGCAGGATTTGACTACAGTGCTGACCTGCTTGTCGAATTTAAAAGTGCTAGTGAAGGTCACTCCATCTTCTTTTGAGATGTGTGGAAAGAAAACATCCATTATCCACCATCAGGAGTTCCTTCTACTAACGTTGTCTATCTGTGTATGTGGTGTCTTCCCTTAAGGAACAACGTTTTGAGGCGACTTTCTACCATTACATCTGAAGAATATAACCTGGCACAAGACTTTAACGAGTCTCTGTGGTTTATTCCTTATTCCTTTCCTAATTCTTCCACCTCCCTTTCTGTTTCCGCTCCCTCCAGATGTGCCCGAGGCTCCTGCTCCTCCAGTAATAGCAGAAATTCGCCATGAGATGGCCATGTTGACCTGGATGGATCCAAAGGAAACCGGCGGATCCCCAATTACTGGTAAAACTTAGCCTCTACTGTCTCCCTTTCCAGCCTAAACATGGAACATAACAGATGTATGTGATAGAAAGCAGTTGAATAGCATGATCCTGACCAGAGCTTGTGGGTTCTCTGCAGGGTTCCACGTGGAGTTCAAGGAGAGGAACAGCCTGATGTGGAAGCGAGCGACGAAGACTCCTCTGAGACTGAGGGAGTGCAGAGTCACCGGCCTGATCGAAGGACTGGAGTACGAGTTCAGAGTGATGGCCATGAACATGGCCGGCCTCGGCAGGCCAAGCAGGGTCACAGAGGCTGTGGTTGCCCTGGATCCTATTGGTGAGTTGAGCAGCTTTCATTTGTGTCCTCTCTTAGAGTGACAACAACATTCTTCTTGTTAATAGAATACTAAATACTTGAATGGGAAAAACTGAAAATGCTGTTTTTCACCCTTTTTCTGGAGATGTGGGGTCTTCTCAGGGGGCTCCAGACTGTTTTAGGGAAACCCACAGTCTTACACTTTGAAACACTTTTTAACACCTTTACTTGATGTCCTGTCAGATCCTCCTGGCAAGCCTGAAGTGATCAGCATCACCAGGAACACGGTCACTCTCATGTGGACCGCTCCCAAATATGATGGCGGCCACAAGTTGACCGGCTACATGGTGGAGAAGTTAGAGGCTGACGGCAAGGCCTGGTTGAAGGCCAATCACGTCAACATCCAGGGCTGTGCCTTCACCGTCACCGACCTGACGGAGGGAGCTCAGTATCAGTTCCTGGTCAAGGCCAAGAACTCTGCTGGAGCTGTCAGTGTTCCTTCAGAGACCACTGAGCTTGTGGCTTGCAGGGATGAATATGGTAAGCTGAGCAGTAAACTTAGTAAGGTAGTTCAAAACATGTGCAATCTTTTTTATTTAAATTCAACTCAATCCTCCCTCCGCAGAGCCCCCGACCATCACTATTGACCCGGACATGAAGGACGGCGTTTCAGTGAAGGCAGGGGACACCATCGTGATCAGAGCCTCCAAGATTTTGGGCAAACCTCTCCCCACTTCTGCGTGGTCCAAGGGAGGCCGTGAGTTTAAGAGCTCGGAGATCGTCTCCATCACCACCACCCCCACATCCTCCACTCTGTCAATCAAGTACGCCAGCCGGAAGAACACCGGAGAGTACACCATCACCGCCAGCAACCCCTTCGGCATTAAGGAAGAACACGTGAAGGTGAAGGTCCTCGACGTGCCCGGACCTCCAGGCCCCATTGAAGCCAGTAACATTTCCGCTGAGAAGTGCACTCTGACCTGGCTGCCACCAGACGAGGACGGAGGCTTCTCCATCAAGTCCTACACCCTGGAGAAGAGAGAGACCAGCCGCCTGCAGTGGACCAAGCTATCAGAAAACATCATGGACTGCAGATACATCGCTGCCAAACTGATCAAAGGCAACGAGTACATCTTTAGAGTGTGTGCCGTGAACCAGATTGGCACTGGAGACGCCAGCCAATCTGCTCCAGTCAAAATGATTGACAGCTTCCGTAAGTTTACATGTTTTTGTGTTTATATATCTCTGATGTTTTATTAATGGAACTAAAGGATTGAGTGATTCAAGGCATACCTGACACATGCTCTTTGTTTGTGTCCCCAGGTGCACCAGGACCACCCTCAGTCCCAGAGGTTGATAACATCAGTAGGAATGCTATCACCATTTCATGGAGGAGACCAGTACAAGACGGTGGAAGTGACATTAGAGGATATAGTGTAGAGAGGAAAGAGAAGAAAGGAATGAGATGGGTGAGGGCCTCCAAAAGGACGGTCCCTGACCTGCGCTTTAAGGTGCAAGGCCTGACTGAAGGAGTAGAGTATGAGTTTAGAGTGACTGCAGAGAACAAGGCTGGATTTGGGGAGCCAAGTGAGCCATCGGCACCTGTGATGACCAAAGACATTGTCTGTAAGTAAAACTGGACTTATCACATCATTCAGAAATCAATTTAAAGTTGCATACTCTGAAAAGTACTTACTTTCACTTTAACACCTGCTTTTTCTTGTTGATTAGATCCCCCTGGACCTCCATCCAACGCCAGACTCACAGACACCACAAAAACCACAGCTTCCTTAGCCTGGGGCAAACCCCACTATGATGGCGGCCTTGAAGTAGATGGATATACTGTTGAGTACAAAAAGGAAGGTCATGATGACTGGGAGGTAGAGACACCGTATCCAGTGAAAGTTACAGAATACGTTATTGGCAAACTTCAGAAAGGAGGGAAATACCACTTCAGGATTATCGCTGTAAACTCAGAGGGAGTTGGTGAGCCTGCAGAGATTGAGAACGTGACTGAACTGGTGGACCAAGAGTCGCTGCCAGACTTTGAGCTGGATGCTGAATGCAGGAGAACCCTGGTGGTCAGATGCCGTGCTTCAATCCGGTTGTTTGTACCCATCAGAGGTCGTCCCGTTCCCGAAGTAACCTGGAGCAAAGATGATACCAACCTGAAACAACGTGCACACATCGACACCACAGAGTCCTACACCCTCCTGGTTGTTCCTGACTGCACCAGATACGATGCTGGAAAGTACAACCTTTGTCTTGAGAATGTTGCCGGAAAGAAGACAGGCTTTGTTAATGTGAAGGTTTTGGACACACCAGGACCACCAGTTAACGTCATACCTAGAGAGATCACTAAGAACAGCATCAGCCTCCAGTGGGAAATCCCCATTATCGATGGCGGTTCTAAGATCCATAGATACGTTATTGAAAAGAGAGCGGCCACCAAGAAGGCCTACACAGTGCTCAGCACTAAATGGCAGAAGTGTTCCTTCAAGTTTACAGACCTTGAGGAGGGAGCATACTACTACTTCCGTATCTCTGCTGAGAATGACTTGGGCGTAGGCGAACCCGCTGAATCCCCTGAGCCAATCAGGGTGTCCCAGTCCCCCTCTGCACCAGAGAACTTGTACGTCACTGATGTGACAGCTGACAGCGCCAGCCTGTCATGGACCAAACCCCTGCACGATGGTGGCAGCTTGATCACTGGATACGTTATTGAATCCCAGAAGAAAGATGGGGAGTGGGTCCATGCAGCCGCCATCAAGGCTCTGGATTACACTGCCACAGATCTGGTCGAGGGTGCAGAATATACATTCCGCATTATGGCCGTCAATGCATCGGGCAGGAGCGACCCGCGTGAGAGCAGGCCTGCCATTATCAAAGAGCAGACTTCAGCTCCTTCCTTTGACCTGCGTGGAATCTACCAGAAGACGGTCATTGCCAAGGCAAGGGACCGCCTCAAGGTGGAGATTCCTGTTCTTGGCAAACCCAGACCTGTGGTTTCCTGGAAGAAGGGAGAAATAGCGCTCAAGGAGACACAAAGAATCAACGTTGAAACCACACCAACATTAACTATCCTGAACATCGCTGAGATCAAGAGGAGCGATGGAGGCCCGTATTCCGTGACTGGGAAGAACATGCTGGGTACAGTGACTGAGACAATCACAGTCCTGGTCCACGACATTCCCGGTCCTCCCACTGGACCCATCAAGCTGGAGGAGGTCTCATGTGATTATGTTCTCATGTCCTGGGAGGCACCAGAGAATGACGGAGGTGTTCCTATCAACAACTATATTGTTGAAATGAGGGACACTACTGGTACTTCCTGGATGGAGCTGGCAGCAACAGTTATCCGCACCACATTCAAGGCAGCCAAACTCAACACTGGAACAACATATCAATTCCGTGTCAAGGCCCAGAACAGATATGGCATTGGACCGTGCATTGTCTCTGAGCAAGTGGTTGCTGCCTATCCATTTGATGTGCCAGGCCAGCCAGACACTCCTGTGGTCACATCTTTCAACAAGGATGCAATGACTCTGAGCTGGAATGAGCCTTCCTCTGATGGAGGCAGTGTCCTCATTGGCTATCATGTCGACAGAAAAGAGAAAAACAGCATTCTGTGGCAGAGGATTAGCAAAGGTCCTGTTGTTGGAAACATCTTCAAATCAACCGGACTTGTTGATGGCATTGCATATGAACATCGTGTTACTGCTGAAAACATGGCCGGTCTCAGCAAACCAAGTAAACCCTGTGAAGCTGTGTATGCTTTGGACCCAGTCGACCCACCAGGCAGACCTGTGGCACTGAATGTCACCAGACATGAGGTGACTGTGTCATGGACCAGACCGGAGGGAGATGGTGGATTCTCCATCACTGGATACACAGTAGAGAAGAGAGAGATGCCCAACGGACGCTGGCTCAAAGCCAACTTCAACAACATCCTAGAAACCATCTACACTGTCAGTGGTCTGATTGAAGACGCTACTTATGAGTTCCGTGTGTTTGCCAGAAATTCAGCTGGTGCTCTGAGTGCTCCATCCCAGTCATCGGAGGCAATTACATGCAGAGATGACCTGGAAGAACCCAGGCTTGATGTTGACTCATCGTATAGCAGCACTGTTGTTGTGATGGCAGGAGAGTTGTTCAAGCTGGAGGCCAATGTTACTGGCAGGCCACTTCCATCTCTGGTATGGACCAAGGAAGGAAAGGAGCTTTTGGATACAGGCAAGCTGGAGATAAAGTCAACTGATTTCCACACAGTTCTTACAAACAAAGATTCCCTGAGGAAGGACGGAGGTGTCTTTATTCTGACTGCCAGCAATCCCGCAGGCTTTGCCAAGTTCACCTTCAATGTCAAGGTGCTGGACAGACCCGGACCACCAGACTCCCTCACTGTTACTGACGTCACTGCTGAGAAATGTGTCCTTAACTGGCTGCATCCATCACATGATGGCGGTGCCAAGATCGAGTACTTTGTCATACAGAGGCGAGAGACAAGTAGGTTGGCATGGACAAATGTGGCCACGGAACTTCAGGCAAACAGGTTCAAGGTCACTAAGCTTCTGAAAGGCAATGAATATGTCTTCAGAGTCATGGCTGTTAACAAATATGGCGTGGGTGAGCCCCTGGAGTCTGAAGCTATCATCTGCACCAACCCCTATGTCCCCAGCGACCCCCCACAGCAGCCTGAAGTCACCACCATTACAAGAGACTCCATGGTCGTCTGCTGGGAACGCCCCGAACACGATGGAGGCAGCAGATTGAACACCTACATTATTGAGAGAAGGGATAAGACTGGCATGCGCTGGGTGAAATGCAACAAGAGGACTGTCACTGACCTGCGTTTCAAGGCCTCGGGCCTCACACCAGGACATGAATATGAATTCAGAGTTTTTGCAGAAAATAATGCTGGTCTAAGTCAGCCTAGTCCCTCCAGTCCATTTTACAAAGCCGAAGACACCATTTTCCAGCCTGGACCTCCAGGGAACCCAAGAGTGCTGGACACAACCAAATCATCCATCACCCTTGCCTGGAACAAGCCTGTATATGATGGTGGTTCGGAAATCACTGGTTACATGGTGGAGACCTGCCTGCCTGAGGAGGATGAGTGGACAATACACACTCCCAAGAAGGGATGGACAGCCACTTCCTTCACTATTACCAACTTGAAGGAAAACCAAGACTACAAAATAAACATATGTGCCACTAATTGTGAGGGAGTTGGAGAGCCCGCTGCCGTTCCTGGAACCCCCAAGGCTGAAGACAGACTGCTTGCTCCAGAGATTGAACTAGGAGCAGAACTGCGTAAGGTTGTTGCCATCAGAGCCTGTAGCACACTCAGACTCTTTGTTCCTATTAAGGGCAGACCTGTGCCTGAAGTGAAATGGTCGAGGGAGCATGGAGAATCCCTGGACAAAGCCATCATTGAAATCACCTCATCATTCACCACTCTTCTGGTAGAAAATGTTGACCGGTTTGATGCAGGCAAATACCTGGTAACTGTAGAGAATGCCTCAGGAAGCAAAACAGCCTATGTTAATGTCAGGGTGCTCGACACTCCTGGAGCCGCTCAGAATCTGATCGTCAAAGAGATCACTAGAGATTCAGTTTCCCTCGTTTGGGATGCACCACTCATTGATGGTGGCTCCAGAGTTCGCAACTACATTGTGGAGAAGCGCGAGTCAAACAGAAAGGCCTACTCAACAGTCTGTGCTAGCTGTCATAAGTCTAGTTGGAAAATAGGAGACCTTGAGGAAGGAAAGATGTACTTCTTCAGAATCCTGGCTGAGAACGAATACGGCGTTGGCCTCCCAGTGGAGACTGTTGAACCACTTAAAGTGTCAGAGAAGCCTCTTCCACCAGGCAAAGTTACCCTTCTTGAAGTTACCAGCTCCAGCGTCTCACTATCTTGGGAAAAACCTGACCACGACGGTGGCAGCAGAATCTCAGGCTATATTGTTGAGATGCAGGGTAAAGGCAGTGAGAAGTGGACCCAGGTCATGGTGGTGAAGACCGCTTCGGCTGTTGTAACTGGCCTCACACAGGGAGAGGAGTATATGTTCCGCATCTCAGCCACTAATGAAAAGGGAGTAAGTGACCCACGTGCTCTTAGTGTGCCTGTGGTGGCTAAAGACCTAGTTATCACACCAACCTTCAAAATGGTTTTCACCACATACAGTGTGCTAGCAGGAGATGATCTGAAGATAGATGTACCATATGCTGCATGTCCCAAGGCTACAGCAACTTGGCTCAAAGATGGCATTGCTCTTAAGGAGACAACAAGAGTTAATGCTGAAGCATCAGACAACAACCTTCACCTGGTTATCAAGGAGGCTTGCAGAGATGATGTGGGCACATACACTATCAAACTGATCAACGCTGTTGGAGACGCATCCGCAGACATCAGTGTAGTTGTTCTAGATAAGCCTGGTCCACCAACCGGCCCAATTAAGATGGATGAAGTCACTGCTGACAGCGTGGTCCTGTCCTGGAATCAACCAGAGTATGACGGTGGTTGTGCCATCAACAATTACGTTGTTGAGAAGAGAGATACATCTACCACAAACTGGCAGATTGTGTCAGCAACTGTGGCCAGAACCACTATCAAGGCAGCCCGTCTGAAGACTGGAATTGAGTATCAGTTCAGGATTGCTTCAGAGAACAGATATGGCAAGTCCTCAATCCTGCTCTCTGAGACAATTGTTGCTCAGTATCCATTTGAATTGCCAAGCCAACCAAGTTCTGTTGAGGTCCAGTCAGCCACCAAGGAGAGCATGGTGGTTGTATGGGAAAAACCCAGCACTGATGGTGGAAGCAAAATTCTGGGCTACCACTTGGAACTCAAAGAGAGAAACAGTTTAATGTGGGTGAAACAGAACAAACAAATAATCCCAGACACCAGATATAAGGCCGTTGGTCTTGAGGAAGGTATTGAGTATGAATTCAGAATCTATGCCGAGAACATTGTTGGCCTCAGCAAAGCCAGCAAACTGAGTGAAATGCAAGTGGCAAGAGATCCTTGTGACAGACCAGGAAAACCAGAGGCTGTCATTGTAACAAGAAGCCAAGTGACACTCAGATGGACAAAACCTGAGTATGATGGTGGCATCATGATCACAGGCTATGTGGTTGAGAAGAAGGAAGGATCTGGCCGCTGGATGAAGGCCAGTTTTGCCAACGTCATTGAGACACAATTTGTTGTCACAGGACTTACTGAAGACCAGGTTTATGACTTCCGTGTCATCGCCAGGAATTCAGCAGGTGTCTTCAGCAAGCCCTCTGATACTACTGGGGAAATTACTGCCAGGGATGAGGTTGATCCACCCAAGATCGAATTAGAATCGAAATACTCCCAGGCTGTGGTTGTAAATGCTGGCGAGACATTCAGTCTTGAGGCTGGCATCTATGGCAAGCCTGTGCCCACAGTGACCTGGCTAAAGGAAGGTAAAAAGATGGCTGAAGCAGCACGCCTAGAGCTCAAGAACACAGACTTTAAAGCTCACATAACTGTGAAAGAAGCAATCCGTGTTGATGGAGGTCAGTACACCTTGCTGGTAAAGAATGTTGGAGGAGAGAAATCAGTAAACATCAATGTCAAGGTCCTGGACAGACCAGGTCCACCTGATGGCCCTATCTCCATCTATGGGGTCACCAATGAGAAATGCAGCATTGCCTGGAAATCTCCCCTCCAAGATGGAGGAAGCGATATCTCCCATTACATTGTTGAGAGGAGGGAAACCAGCAGACTGGTTTGGACAGTAGTTGAACAAAAAGTTCAGACACTGAACCTGAAAATCACAAAACTACTTCCTGGTAACGAGTACATCTTTAGAGTGATTCCAGTCAACAAATATGGAGTTGGTGAGCCTCTGGAATCTGAAGCCATGATTGCCAAAAATCCATTTGTCACTCCCAGTGCGCCAACAGAGGTAGAAGTCTCCACAATCACCAAAGACTCCATGGTGGTGACCTGGGACAGACCAACTAGTGATGGTGGAAACTCTATCCAGGGATACGTTGTTGAGAAACGTGACAAGGATGGTGTGAGATGGACCAGATGCAACAAGCGTACAGTTAGTGAGCTCCGCTTTAGAGTCACAGGGTTGCTTGAAAACCACAGCTATGAATTCAGAGTTGCTGCTGAAAATGCTGGAGGTGTTGGCACACCCAGTGAAGCAATCGTGTATTACAAAGCATTGGATCCGATCTTCAAAGCAGGCCCACCAAACAACCCCAAGGTGGTGGACACATCCAGGTCCACTGTCTCCCTGACATGGGGTAAGCCTATCTACGATGGTGGCTGTGAGATTCAGGCATACATTGTTGAGGCCTGCAATCAAATATCCGATGAGTGGGTTATGTGCACTCCTCCAACTGGAATCACAGAAACTAAGTTCACAGTAAAACAGCTTCTGGAGAAGCACGAATACACATTCAGAGTGTGTGCTATCAACAAAGTTGGAGTTGGGGAGCATGCTGACGTTCCAGGGAAGATTCTTCTGGAGGAGAAGCTTGAAGCTCCTGATCTTGACCTTGATACTGATATGAGAAAGATCATCAACATAAGATCAGCAAGCACTCTCAGGCTGTTCATTCCTGTGAGAGGTCGTCCAGCTCCTGAGGTGAAATGGGGCAAGGCTGAGGGCGAGATTAAGGAGACCGCCATGATTGACAATACAGGCAACTATGCTTCACTTGTCATTGAGAATGTGGACAGATTTGATACTGGCAAGTACACACTGACTGCAGAGAATGCCAGTGGAGTGAAGTCAGTATTCATTAGTGTCAGAGTCCTGGACTCACCTGGTCCACCAGCCAACTTCATGGTGAAAGAGATTACCAAGAATTCTGTTACTCTCACATGGGAGCCTCCAATTCTGGATGGTGGTTCAAAGGTTAAGCACTATCTTGTTGAGAAGCGTGAGAGCACCAGGAAAGTCTATTCTACCATCACAACCTGCAACAAGATGACCTGGAAAGTTGAGCCCCTTCCAGAGGGTGGAATCTTCTTCTTCAGAGTCGTGGCTGAGAATGAATATGGTGTGGGTCTCCCTGCTAAAACTATAGAGCCAGTTAAGATATCCGAGAAGCCTCAGCCCCCTGGTAAAGTCAGTGTTGTTGATGTCACTTCTAAAACTGTAACTCTCACCTGGGAGAAGCCTGAACATGACGGTGGCAGTAGAATCAGCTACTATGAAGTCGAAATGTCAACTAAGGACAGTGAAGCTTGGTCTCTGTGTGCTAGTGGAAAGTCACTGGAGACTGTAGTAACAAACCTTCGCAAGGGAGAGGAGTACATGTTTAGAGTGATTGCCGTAAATGACAAGGGCAAAAGTGATGCCAGACAACTGGCTCAGACTGTTTTAGCTAAGGACCTTGTGATTGAGCCTTCTGTTAGACCCACAATGAGCACCTACAGTGTCCAGGTGGGTTATGACCTCAAGATAGATGTCCCCACTGCTGGTCACCCAAAGCCTACCATCACTTGGACCAAGGATGGAGCAGCCCTTAAGCAGACCACCAGAGTCAATGTCACTGACTCAGCACGGACCACCACTCTCACCATAAAAGATGCAACAAGGGATGATGGAGGCATGTACAGCATCAATATTGCCAATGCCATGGCTTCCAAGGATGCCACTATTGAAGTGACAACCCTGGACAAACCTGGCCCAGCAACAGGCCCTGTCAAATTGGAGGATGTCAGTGCTGAGAGTTTAACTCTGACCTGGGAACCTCCTACATATACAGGTGGCTGCCCAATCTCCAACTATGTGGTTGAGAAGAGAGACACAACCACAACCAACTGGGTTGTTGTTTCTGCAACTGTGGCCAGAACGACTCTAAAAGTGGCCAATCTGAAGACAGGCAGTGAATATCAGTTCCGAATCTATGCTGAGAATAAATATGGAAAGAGCTATGCAATTGATTCAGAGCCTGTTTTGGCACAGTATCCGTTCCAGGAGCCTGGACCACCAGGAACACCATTTGTGTCTTCGTATTCTAAAGACTATATGGTGGTTGAGTGGCACAAACCTCCAACTGATGGAGGCAGTGCCATCTTGGGATACCATCTGGAGAGAAAGGAGAAGAACAGCATTCTTTGGACCAAGATCAACAAAATGCTAATCCAAGACTGCAGGTACAAATCTACTCCTCTTGAAGAAGGCATTGAGTATGAGTACAGAGTCTATGCTGAGAATATTGTTGGCATTGGAAAATGCAGCAAAGTCTCTGAGGTGTATGTGGCTCGTGACCCATGTTATCCTCCTGGCCGCCCTGAGGCTGTGATTGTGACCAGGCACTCAGTGAAGCTGAGGTGGACAGCTCCAGAGTATGATGGCGGAAGCATAATTACTGGCTACGTAGTGGAGAAGCGTGACCTTCCCGAAGGAAAGTGGATGAAGGCCAGCTTTGCAAATGTCCTTGACCACGAATTTACAGTAAGTGGCCTGACAGAAGACAACAAATATGATTTCAAAATAATTGCAAGGAATGGAGCTGGTGCTATCAGCAAGCCCTCTGAAAGCACGGGATCCATCACAGCCAAGGATGAAGTCGACCCACCCAAGTATGAGACCGATTCTATGTACAACCAGACAATTGTTATCAATGCTGGAGAGAATTTCAATCTCGAGGCAAGTGTTGGAGGAAAGCCCATCCCCACAGCTCAGTGGTTCAAGGGATCTGTTGAAGTTGAAAACTCATCAAGAGCTGAGATCAAAAACACAGACTTTAAGGCTTTGCTTGCTGTGAAGGATGCCATTAGAGTGGATGGTGGACAGTACACACTTGTTCTGACTAATGTGGCTGGATCAAAGACTGTCCCATTCAGTGTGAAGGTCCTGGACAGACCCGGCCCACCAGAGGGACCTCTTACTGTCAGCAATGCCACAGAGGAGAAGTGCTCACTGTCATGGCTGCCACCCAGGCATGATGGAGGAGCTGGCATTTCTACCTATGTCATTCAGAAGAGAGAAACCAGCCGCCTGGCATGGACTGTTGTTTCCAGTGACTGTGGAGCTACCATGTTCAAGGTTACCAAACTGTTGAAGGGCAATGAGTACATCTTCAGAGTCATGGCTGTCAATAAATATGGCTTGGGTGAGCCTCTTGAATCAGTGCCAGTTATCATGAGAAATCCGTTCGTTACCCCTAGCTCACCTCAGGAGCTTGAGATCACTAACATTACCAGGGACTCCATGACCGTCTGCTGGAACCGCCCCGAGAGCAATGGAGGCAGTGAGATTGTTGGTTACATTGTTGAGAAAAGAGACAGAGCTGGAGTGAGATGGACCAAGTGCAACAAACGCAGAGTGACAGACCTGCGTTTCAGAGTAACTGGTCTGACTGAAGACCATGAATATGAGTTCATGGTATCTGCTGAGAACGCAGCTGGAGTGGGTAAGCCTAGCCCACCTTTACCCTACACCAAAGCCTGTGACCCAAGCTTTGAACCGGGCTGTCCTTCCAACGCCCATGTGGTCAGCACTACTAAGGACACCATCAGTCTGGCCTGGCACCGTCCTATCTATGATGGTGGTTGTGAGATTCAAGGATACGCTGTGGAAATAACCAAGGCTGAGGAGGAGGAATGGAGCTTATGCACCCCACCCTCTGGAGTTAAGGATCCCAAGTTGACCATCACCAAGTTGATTGAGCACCAGGAGTACAAGCTGCGCATATGTGCTATCAATAAGCTTGGTGTTGGTGAGCCCACAGAGATTGAGGGAGTCGTTAAACCTTTAGATAACATTGATCCTCCAGAGGTGATTCTGGATGCAGTGCTCAGGAAGGGAATAGTTGTCCGTGCAGGAGGCTCAATGAGAATCTGCATACCATTCAAGGGCCGTCCTACTCCGGAGATCAGCTGGGCCAAGGATGGCGGAGAACTGACCTCTAAAGCTCAGATAGACTCTGGTGAAGAACAAACACAGCTAACCATTGACATCTGTGACAGATATGATGCTGGAAAATACATCCTCAACTTGGAAAATAGTGCTGGCACCAAATCTGCCTTTGTTGCTGTCAAAGTTCTGGACACTCCAGGTGCCCCAGTGAATCTGACAGTAAAAGACATTAAGAGGGAAAGTGTCGCCCTCACATGGGAGCCTCCTCTTATTGATGGCGGTGCAAGAATCAAGAATTACCTGGTTGAGAAGCGTGAGTCCAACAGGATTGTTTACTCTAACGTGGAGAACAAGTGCACAAAAACAAGCTATCGTATCACAGGTCTTACTGAGGGAACTGTCTACTATTTCAGAATCTTAGCAGAGAACGAGTTTGGCGTGGGAGAGGCAGTTGAGACCGAACATGCAGTTAAGACCTCAGAGCCTCCACTATCAGTGGGTAAGGTCACTTTGACTGAAGTGACCAAAACCTCTGCCTCTTTCTCCTGGGAGAAGCCAGTCCATGATGGAGGCAGCAGAATTAATGGCTACTACATTGAAATGCAGCCTGTGGGTTCAGAGGAATGGGTAGTAGCCGCCACAACCAAAACTTGCGAGGGCACTGTCCTAGGTCTTAGTTCAGGCCACGAGTACCTGTTTAGAGTGACAGCTTTCAATGAGAAGGGCAAGAGTGACCCCAGGCCTCTCGCTGCCCCCGTCACAGCCAAAGATGTAACTGTCCTGCCCGGGTTCACGATGTCAGCCAACACATTCAGTTTACAGACTGGTGAGGATCTGAAGATTGAGATTCCAGTGATTGGACGCCCTGCCCCGAAGGTCGAATGGAGTAAGGGTGGGCAGGCTCTTAAGGAGACAACCAGATTAAATGTAACCAGCACATCCACATCTACCAAGCTGTGCATCAAGGAGGCAAATAGGGAGGACTCTGGTAAATACACAATCACAGCAACCAGCAGTCTCGGAACAGCTACGGAGGAGATGACTGTCGTTATTCTTGAAAAGCCTGGCCCACCCACAGGCCCTGTAAAGGTTGAGGAGGTGAGCTCTAACTATGTGCTTATCTCCTGGGAGCCACCAGTGTATACTGGAGGCTGTCAGATCAACAACTATATTGTGGAGAAGAAAGACACCACAACAACAGCATGGCAGATCGTGTCTGCTACTATTGCCAGGTCCACCATCAAAGTCACCAATTTGAAGACTGGAATTGAGTATCAATTCAGAGTGTCTGCTGAGAATAGATATGGAAAGAGTTCTGCCATTTTCTCTCCCAACGTTATTGCTCAGTATCCATTCAGTGAGCCTGCTGCCCCAGGAACACCAATTATTTCTGCTGCAACCAAGGATAACATGGTTGTTGAGTGGAAGGCCCCCACCAACAACGGAGGCAGCCCCATCCTAGGCTATCACCTTGAGAGAAAGGAAAAGAACAGCCTTTTGTGGACAAAACTCAACAAGCTTCTTATCCCAGACACACGCTTCAAGACTACAGAGCTGGAAGAAGGCATTGAGTATGAATTCAAAGTCTTTGCTGAGAACATTGCTGGAGTCAGCCCAGCTAGCAAGGTCTCTGAGTGCACAGTAGCCAGGGATCCTTGTGACCCACCAGGCACTCCTGCGGCCATTGATATAACCAGAAATCATGTGGCACTTCAGTGGACCAGGCCTCAGTATGATGGAGGCAGTGCAATCACTGGCTATTTCATTGAGAGGAGGAAGCACCCAGATACCCGCTGGATGAAGGCCAGCTTCACCAACATCATTGATACCAATTACATTATCACTGGCCTCACTGAGGACTGTGTTTACGAGTTCAGAGTCGTTGCAAGGAACGCTGCTGGCATTTATAGCAGTCCTTCTGAGAGCACAGGAGAAATTACAGCTAAAGATGAAATTGAGGCACCAGAGGCCATCTTGGATTCTAAATTCAAGGATCTGACTGTTGTTAGTGCTGGAGAAACATTTATTATCGATGCTGACTACACTGGCAAGCCTCTGCCGGAAGTCTCTTGGTTAAAGGAAGGAAAGGAGATTGACCAAACCACCCCAAGAATGGAGGTCAAGACCACACTCACCCGTACCATCCTCACAGTCAAGGAATGCATCAGAGTGGACGGTGGGCACTTTGTCCTCAAACTTGTCAATGTGGGTGGAATCAAGATGATCCCAGTTAATGTTAAAGTTCTGGATAGACCTGGTCCTCCAGATGGCCCGCTAGAAGTCAAAGGGGTCACATCTGAGAAATGTTATCTGCACTGGAGCCATCCCTCACATGATGGTGGAGCCAGCATCTCTCACTACATCATTGAGAAGAGAGAGACCAGTCGCTTGTCATGGACCATGGTTGAGCCCATGATCCAGGCTATCAGCTACAAAGTCACAAAACTGCTGCCTGGCAATGAATACATCTTCAGAGTCACTGCTGTGAATAAATATGGTATTGGGGATCCTTTGGAATCTGCGCCTGTCATTGCTCGTAACCCCTTCACCACTCCCAGCGCCCCGTCCACCCCAGAACCAAGCGTTATCGCTCGGGACTCCATCGTGCTAACATGGGAGAGACCAGAGAATAACGGAGGATCTGAGATTGATGGTTATGTGCTTGAAAAACGTGATAAGGATGGCATCAGGTGGACCAAGTGCAACAAAAAGAGGCTGACTGACCTGAGATTTAGATGCAGTGGCCTCGTAGAAGGACACTCTTATGAGTTCAGGGTCTCAGCTGAAAATGCTGCTGGTGTTGGAAAGCCTAGTGCACCATCTGAATACATCAAAGCGTGTGATGCCATTTATCCACCGGGATGTCCAAATAACCCCAAAGTCACAGATCATTCGAGCACCACAGTCTCTTTGTCCTGGTCCAGGCCTATCTATGATGGTGGAGCACAAATCAGCGGATATGTTGTGGAAATGAAGGAGGCAGCAGATGATGAATGGGTCACTTCTACACCACACAGTGGTGTTCATGCCACCAACTTCACCGTAAAGCACCTTAAGGAGAATGCAGAGTACAACTTCCGCATCTGTGCTGTCAACTGTGAGGGAGTAGGAGAGCACGTGGACCTACCAGGTTCTGTGATTGCTGCAGAGAAGCTGGAGGCTCCTGAGATTGAACTTGATGCTGATCTGAGGAAGATGGTCAATGTTCGGGCCACCGCCAACTTGCGCCTGTTTGTGCCAATCAGAGGAAAACCTGAGCCTGAAGTCAAATGGTCAAAGGCTGATGGAGTTTTGAATGAGCGTGCCCAGATTGATGTCACAAGCTCTTACACAATGCTGGTGATTGAAAATGTCGATAGATTTGATACCGGCAAATATGTACTGACCCTTGAGAATCTCAGTGGCTCTAAATCAGCCTTCATCAATGTCAGAGTCCTCGACTCTCCCAGTGCTCCTACCAACCTGGGGGTTAAGGATGTCAAGAGAAATTCAGTCTCCATCTCCTGGGAACCTCCTCTTATTGATGGTGGGGCTAAGATATCACATTACATTGTGGAGAAGAGAGAGCAGAAGAGAATGGCTTTCACCAGTATTTGCACCAACTGTGTGAGGAACTCGTACCTTATTCCTGACCTTCAGGAGGGAGGTCGATACTATTTCCGAGTTTTGGCTGTGAATGAGCTGGGAGTAGGTTTGCCTGCATCCACAGATCAAGTCAAGGTTGCTGAGGCTCCTTTGCCCCCTGGCAAGATTGTCCTGGTTGACGTAACCCGTCATACCGTCACTCTTTCATGGGAGAAACCTGATCATGATGGAGGCAGCAAGATAACAAGCTTTATGGTGGAGATGCAGCCCAAGGGAGATGACAAATGGACTGTGTGCAGTGAAGCCAAAGCACTGGAAGCTACTATTGGAGGTCTCACAACTGGAGAGGAATACACCTTCAGGGTTACTGCTGTGAATGATAAGGGAAAGAGTGATGCCAAGCCCCTGGCCAACCCGGTCTTGCTGAAGGACATCACCACAAAGCCCTTCATTAGCCAGTTGTACGACACATACAGTGTAAGAGCAGGTGACGACCTGAAGATTGATGTTCCATTCAGAGGCAGACCTCAGCCTGAGGTGTCCTGGAAGAAGGACGGCCATGTGCTTAAGCAGACAACCAGGGTAAATGTTCTTAATTCCAAGACCTCATCCAAGATTACCATCAAGGATGCAACCAAGGAGGATGTAGGAAAGTATGAGATCACTCTGACAAACTCAGTTGGCTCAAAGACAGCTGAAACCTCTGTTGTCATCCTGGACAAACCTGGCCCACCCAGCAACATTAAATTTGATGAGGTGAGTGCTGACTTCATCAATCTGTCTTGGGATGCTCCAATCTATGACGGAGGATGCCAAATTAACAACTATGTAGTGGAGAAGAAAGACACTACCACCATTGCATGGCAGATTGTCTCAGCCACAGTAGCCAGGACTTCAATCAAGGTCAATCGTCTCAGTCAGGGAACAGAGTATCAGTTCCGTGTTGCAGCTGAGAACCGTTACGGCAAGAGTTCAGCAATTGACTCTGCTCCCGTTGTTGCTCAGTATCCCTTCGAGCCTCCTGGCACTCCTACCAACGTCCGTGTTTCCCATGCCACCAAGTATGGCATGCTTGTGGAATGGGGCAAACCTGCCAGTGATGGTGGCAGCCCTGTAACTGGTTATCACATTGAATGCAAAGACCAAAGCAGCATCCTGTGGACCAAGGTCAACAGAGGTCTGCTGGCTGAGAACCAGTTCAAGATGACAGGCATTGAAGAAGGCCTGTTTTATCAGTTCAGAGTCTATGCTGAGAACATTGCTGGAATTGGTCCATGTACTAAAGCCTGTGAACCTGTAGCAGCCAGGGATCCATGTGAATCTCCTCATAACCTTCGAGTCACCAACATTACCAGGACCTCTGTTTCCCTCTTCTGGGAGAAGCCTGAGTATGATGGTGGAGTGAAGATAACTGGTTACATTGTTGAGCTTAGAGAACTTCCCAATGGCCGCTGGCTTAAATGCAACTTCGCCAACCTGCAAGACACCTACTTCGATGTCACAGGCCTCACAGAAGATGTCCAATATGACTTCCATGTCATCGCTAAGAATTCTGCAGAGCTGTTGAGTGATCCCTCAGAGAGCACTGGTCCTGTCACAGTCAAGGATGATGTAGACCCTCCCACTATTATCCTGGAAGAAAAGCTCAGACAGCTGGTTGTCATTAAGGCTGGAGATATCATTCGAATTGATGCTGAAATCTCAGGCCGTCCACTCCCTGTTGTCACCTGGTATAAGGATGGAAAGGAGATTGAGGCCAAGGCCAGATGTGAAATCACTTCCACCAACTTCACAACCACACTGATAGTCAGAGATGCTATCAGGAGGGACTCCGGCCAGTATGTCTTGTCTCTGCACAATGTGGCAGGAACCAGGGCAATGGCTATCAACTGTAAGGTTCTGGACAGACCTGGACCTGCTTCAGGACCAATGTCAGTGTCTGGCCTCACAGCAGAGAAATGCACCATAATGTGGGGTCCTCCTCAGGAGAACGGTGGGGCTGAAGTCATGCACTACATCGTTGAGAAACGCGAGACCAGTCGCCTTGCCTGGACACTCGTCTATGCTGACATGAAGGCAACAACTTGTAAAGTGACCAAGCTGCTCAAAGGAAATGAGTACATCTTCAGAGTTAGGGGAGTCAACAAATATGGGGATGGTGAGCCCATGGAGAGTGAGCCAACAAAGGCCATTGATCCATTCACTGTTTCTGCAGCTCCCACTAATGTTCAAGTCACCTCAGTTACCAGTGAGGCAATGACCATCTGTTGGGAAAGGCCAACCTCTGATGGTGGCAGTTCTATCTCTGGCTATGTCATTGAAAAGAGAGAGAAGACTGGCCTTCGCTGGTGCCGTGTCAACAAGAAACCTGTTTATGACCTTAGAGTCAAGGCCGGAAACCTTCGTAATGGCTGTGAGTATGAGTACAGAGTGTTTGCAGAGAACTCCGCAGGCCTCAGTGCTTCCAGCACCACTTGCCCACTGGCCAAAGCTGAAGATCCACAGTTCCTGCCCTCTCCTCCTGCCAAGCCTAAGATCATCGACTCTTCAAAGACAACAGTCACCCTGTCTTGGAATAAGCCACTGTTTGATGGTGGAGCACCTGTGACAGGTTACAAAATCAAATACAGGAAGTCTTCTGATGATGAATGGATGGTTGGAGTCCATAATACCAAGAACACAGAGTTCTCAGTGGGGGGATTGACACCTGGAACTGAATATGTGTTTGTTGTCAAATCCATCAACAAGATTGGAGCCAGTGAGAACAGTGCTGAGACAGACCCACAGGTGGCCAAAGAAAGAGAGGACGAGCCAGTCTTTGAAATCAGCAATGAGATGAGGAAGACCCTTATTGTTAAGGATGGTAGCTCATTCACCATGAAAGTGCCTTTCAGAGGCAAACCCATCCCAAGTGTTTCATGGTCTAAGGCTGATGTTGACCTTAGAGTTCGTGCTGTCATTGACACCACAGACACCTTCACCTCCATCACCTTAGAGAAAGCAACTCGCTACGACTCTGGCAAATACGTCATCACCTTGTCAAGCGTATCTGGAACTGCCTCGTTGACCCTCAATGTCAGAGTCTTAGATTCCCCAGGACCTCCTTGCCATTTGGAGGTCAAGGATGTGACCAGAACCTCTGCTTCTGTCACCTGGGACACTCCTGAGAATGAGGGAGGAGGACCAGTCAAGAACTACCTTGTTGATTTCCGTGAGGCCAGCAAGAAGGGCTGGACCAAGTTGACTGACACATGCCACAGACTTACATACAAGGTGTCGGACATGCAGGAGGGAGGAGTATTCTACTTCAGAGTGACAGGCGAGAACGAGTATGGTGTTGGTGTCTCTGCTGAAACCAAGGAAGGAACAAAGATCACAGGTAATGAATTTAAAATCAGGAAGATTATTGATTGGCACTGTCACAACATTATACCATAATATTGAAATAAAACACATGATGTTCTCTTTACCCAGAAAAACCAACCCCACCAGCAAAGCTAGGTGCAACTGATGTGACCAAGGAGAGTGTGGCCCTGGCTTGGGCCAAACCAGATCACGACGGAGGAAGCAGAATCACTGGGTACCTGGTGGAGGCTCTGGAGAAAGGCCAGGAGAAGTGGGTGAAGTGTGGTGTGACCAAGTTCATCCACTTCACAGTGTTTGGTCTGAGGGAGAATGCTGAGTACTTCTTCAGAGTCAGAGCAGAGAACCACGCTGGCTTCAGTGATTTCAAGGAAATGCTCACCCCAGTGGTGCTCAAGGACCAGCTCGGTAAGTAACACATCTTTCAGGTTCAAGAAATAACAGTCAGCCGATAAAGGCATTGAAGCAGGATTTGCTTCCCTTGCTTCATCTCTCCTTGTTCCTTTTCTCTCCAGAATCTCCTGAGATGAACATGAATGACTTCCCACACAACACAGTGTATGTAAGAGCCGGCTCCAACCTCAAGTGTGAGATCCCACTGACAGGCCGGCCTTTGCCTAAAGTCTCCCTGTCCAAGGATAACGTGTTACTCAAATCAACCATGAGGTTCAACTCTGAAGTCACCCCTGACAGCATCAAGATCACTTTGCGCGAGAGCATTGCTGGAGACTCAGGACGCTACGATATCATTGCCTCCAACTCCAATGGAACCACCACATCATTCTTAAATATTGTTGTTCTGGACCGCCCCAGTGCTCCCATTGGACCTGTGCAGATGTTTGACATCACAGAGGACAGCGTGAGCCTGGAGTGGCTCCCACCAGCATATGAAGGTGGCAGCCCTATCACCAACTACATCATCCTGAAGAAAGAGGTAACCTCAGCCAACTGGGTGGAAGTCTCTTCTGCTGTGGCTCGCTGCACCATGAAGATCATGAAGCTGACCACTGGTCTAGCGTACCAGTTCAGGGTCAGAGCTGAAAACAAATATGGCACCAGTGAGCACATTGACTCAGAAACTGTTGCTGTCAACCTTCCTTACAGTAAGTCATCTTTGCTTCCATGTTGTGTGTCACATGATCATTTTGTACACATTTGTTCTCTTTTATGACATTAACCCTCTTCCAATCTGACTGTTACCTCACAGCTATACCTGAAGCTCCATCGACTCCAGAGATCACTGCTGTTACCAAGGAGACCGTCACTGTCGCCTGGAACGAGCCTAAGTCAGACGGTGGCAGCCATGTGTTTGGCTACCATCTCCAGATGAAAGACAGGAACAGCATTCTCTGGCAGAAAGTCAACAAAATGGTGATCCGTGCTGCACACTACAAGGTCACCGACATCAGTGCTGGACTCATTTATGAGTTCAAGGTAGCAGCAGAGAACGCTGCTGGAAACAGCCCCTTCAGCAAGGTTTCTGATGCAGTGCTGGCCATTGATGCCTGTGGTGAGGGGGAAATAATAACATGTCTCTAATATTCAAGAACATCTGATTGAAGTCATTAGCAACAGTTTCTTACTATGGCTTCTTCTTGTGTGTTCCTGCAGAGCCACCCATCAACCTTCGCATTAGTGACATCACCAAGCACTCCATTAGCCTGGCCTGGCAGAAGCCCAACTACGATGGCGGATCCTCCATTAATGGATACATCATTGAGAAGAAAGAAGGCGTTAATGCCAGGTGGTCCAAGGCTAACCTCACCAATGTCACAGACACCCGCTACACTGTGACTGGCCTCACCCAGGACGAGACGTACGAGTTCAGAGTCATGGCCAAGAATGCCGTCGGTTCAGTGAGCAACCCATCCATGGTGGTTGGACCAGCCACATGCGTGGATACCTATGGTAGGCCTTTATTTATTATTTAGCATTTTACTCCTGTGGTTTGCTATCACATTTAGTGCATCAACTGGGAGTCAAGGGAATATACGTGTGAAGAATTGTGACACAAATTAAAATAGATATCATATTTGAGTAGAACACGCAACAATCCTTGCTATTTTCTCTCTCTCTCTCTATATATATATATATATATATATATATATATACTATATACATCCTTATTTGAACTCACACACCTGTATTTTGATTTATCCAGGTGCCCCAGAGATTGAAACACCTCAAGAGTACTTCAGTGAGGTCAAGTACAGGGCTGAGTCCAATGTGGAGCTCAAGTTTAACATCATAGCCAAACCTGCTCCCACTATTGAGTGGTTTAAGGATGGCAGGGAGCTTGCACCGACCAGCCAGCTCACCTTCAAACACACATTTGAGTCCACCAGTCTGTTCCTGAATGACACCACTCGTCTGAACTCTGGAACCTATGAGGTCCGGGTAAAGAACTCCATGGGATCTGCCTTCGCCAATGTTAGGCTGCTCATTCAAGGTATTTAAACATTTCAAAACTATATCCATGAATGTGGCATAACATTTATTGAAATACTGTTTTGACCATAACATGCACGAATATGTCCTTTCACCATCCAGACAAGCCAGGCCCCCCTGATGGCGAGATTGAGTTTAAGAAGGTGACAGCCAACACTGCCACCATCATGTGGTCTCCTCCTTCCGATGAGGGCGGTGCCATGGTGTCACATTATATTGTGGAGAAGAGGGAGACCAGCCGGATCATGTGGTCCATTGTCTCAGAAAAACTGGTCGACTGCATTGTTAACGTGCCCAGACTCATCGAAGGAAATGAGTACATCTTCCGAGTCCGTGGAGTCAACAAGTACGGCATCGGAGACGCACTGGAGTCCGAACCTGTCGTTGCAAAGAACGCATTTGGTAAGGAAACAGAATCAAAAACACAACTGTTGTTCAACGTATGAATTATTTTATGTTATTTTTAGTACCAAACTACACTTTGAAGAGAAGCATTTCACTTCATCTAACCTGAACATTTTGATTGTGTACAGTTCCTCCTAGCGAGCCATCCAAGCCTAAAGTGACCATTATCACCAAGTCCACCATGACCGTGATCTGGGAAAGACCAGCAGCCGATGGAGGCAGCGACATTGACGGATACTATTTGGAAAAGAGGGAGAAGAAGAGTCTGCAGTGGTTCAAGGTTTGTTTGCCGACCTACATTTACACATTTTGCACTGAAGTGTAAAAGCCAAATGAATAACTGCCGTGTGTGAGGATCCTAACTTTATCTGTTCTTGGCAAAGGTGGTGAAGGACACCATCAGAGACACCAGGCAGAAAGTCACCAACCTGACGGAGAACAACGAGTACCAGTACAGAGTTTGTGCTATCAACAAGGCCGGAGCAGGAAACTACTCTGATGGCTCTGACCTCTACAAGGCCTACGACCCAATCGGTACGCTTATTATTATAACTTTGCATCACAAAGTTATATTTGAAGACTTCTTAATTGTTAAGGTCTTTATTGCTGACAACATTCTTCATTCATCCCTTTTGTCTTCCTCAGATCTTCCTGGTGAGCCGTCCAAGCTGCGTGTGGTGGACTCCACAAAGACCTCCATCACCCTCGGCTGGGAGAAGCCCGTCTATGATGGCGGAAGTGAAATCACACACTACCTTTTGGAGATGTTGAATTCAGAGGAGAAAGAATGGGCCATCGTCAACCCGAAGGTCAAGGCCTGCGAGTACGTGGTGTCTCACCTCAAACCTGGAGCATACTACTTCTTCAGAGTCTCTGCTGTCAACTGCAAGGGCAAAGGAGAAGACATCAAAATGTACCAGCCCCTTCAAGCCAAGGATATCTTGGGTTCGTATTCTTGTAGAGCATGACTCGAGTCTTAAAACCATATTTATGATCTTTTTTATTGGATTCTTTTGCTATGAATTTTTCTCACTGACGAAATTAATTCCTGCTCTGTGTTTGTGTTACCCTTCCTTCCAACAGAGGAGGCCGATTTGGACTTGGACGTTCCCATGACCACCCAGTACACAGCCAGGGCCGGCCGTGACGTGGAGGTGTTTATCCCCTTGAAGGGACGCCCCGCCCCCAACGTGACATGGCGACGTGGCGACCGCAATATTGCTGCTGACAACCGCTACACCATCACCAGCACTGAGCGCGCCACCACGCTCCTGATCCCTAAGGTCAGCCGCGACGACCGTGGCAAGTACCTGCTGGAGATTGAGAACGGCGTGGGAGAGCCCAAGATCATCATTGTGTCCCTGAAGGTTCTGGACAGTCCAGCCATCTGTCAGAAACTCATGATCAAGAATGTGACAAGAGGACATCTGAGCCTCAGCTGGGAGGCTCCTCTCATCGAAGGCGGCTCCCCTGTCACACATTACATCGTTGAGAAGAAGGCGTCCACCATGAAGGCTTACCAGGTGATCAATGCCGAGTGTACCAACACAACTTACAAGGTGACGGGCCTGGAGGAGGATATAGCTTACTTCTTCCGTGTGTCTGCTGAAAATGAGTACGGTGTTGGCGAGACATGCGAAACTACTGAACCTGTAAGAGCCACGGAAACTCCTGGAGCTGTTAAAAACCTGGTGATGGCGGATTCTACAAAGACCTCTGTTACCCTGCAGTGGACCAGACCTGACCACGATGGGGGCAGCCACATCACTGAATACATTGTTGAGAAGAGATCCGTGGAAGATCCTACCTGGACTCTGGGAGCAACATGCAAGCGCCTGAGCTGTGAAGTGACGGGACTCAAGGAGAAGGCTGAAATGGACTTCAGAGTGCTCGCCAAGAACGAGAAGGGCAACAGTGACTTCTCCCTGATTGGTCCAATCACAGTGAAGGACTTCATCATTCTGCCTGAAGCAAACCTTGTTGACTACCCTAACGGAGAGCTTGCTGTCCGTGTTGGTCAGAACATCCACATCGAGTTGCCCTTCAAGGGAAAACCATTGCCTTCAATCAGCTGGCTGAAAGATAACCAGCCACTGAAGGAAAGTGACAAGATTCGCTTCAGGACTACTGACAACAAGACGGCGGTCACAGTCAGAGGAGTCAAGAAGGAGAATGCCGGCCAGTACACTTTGTGTCTGGACAACAGAACCGTCAAGAACTACTTTGACATCAATGTGATCACTCTTGGACCCCCCTCAGTGCCTGTTGGTCCCATCCGCTTCGATGAGATCAAAGCACAGAGTATCATCATTTCATGGGATGAGCCGAATGAGAACGGCGGCGGTGAGATCACCTGCTACAGCGTGGAGAAACGTGAAACCGCCCAGGCCAACTGGAAGATGGTCTGCTCCAGTGTTGTCAGGCCCACTTTCAAAATCCCTAACCTGGTCAAGGGAACTCAGTACCAGTTCAGAGTCCGTGCAGAAAACAAGTATGGGATCAGTGTTTCTCTTGCATCCCCAGAAGTTGTTGCCCAGCACCAGTACAAACCTCCAGGACCCCCACCGAAACCAGTGGCCTTCAATGTCACCTGTGATGGTATAACCATCAGGTGGGACGCCCCAGAATTTGACGGAGGATCCCCCATTTTGGGATATCATGTTGAAAAGAAGGACAGGAACAGCCTCTTGTGGCAGAAGGTGAACTCCACCATCATCTCCAACAAAGAGTACAGGATCATTGGTCTCATTGAGGGTCTGGAGTACTCCTTCAGAGTCTATGCTGAGAACAACGCTGGACTCAGCCCTGTTAGTGAACAGAGCAAACATGCCCTGGCTATCGCCCCTGTTGGTAAGTACACGCAAGAAACGACATCTTTATATGTTGGGGGATAGCTTTGTACTTACAGAAGCAGAAAGCACATGTTGTTAAAGATCCTGAGTGTTTCTGCAATGTTTGATTTTACATTCAAACATTGTGAATATAATGCTTCTTTCTCTTCTCAATTAGATCCACCTGGAAAACCTGTCTGCATTGATGTCACCAGAGACTCAGTCACCCTTAAGTGGGCCGTCCCTGAGAGGGATGGTGGCAGCAAAATTGTGGGCTACAGTGTGGAGAGGCGCCAAGGCAGAGGCAAATGGCTGCGATGCAACTTCACTGATGTCTGCGAGACCCAGCTCACTGTGACTAGTCTCTCCTCTGGAGACAGATTCGAGTTCAGAGTCATTGCCAGGAATGCTGTGGCCACAGTCAGTCCACCATCTAACTCCTCTGGATATATTATGACAAAGGATGAGAGCAGTAAGTCTTTTCAAATGATCATGAATACAAGTTTCCTGACAACCCTATGATTGTACAGATTCCTAATGAGTTTGTTCTCTTTGTGTCTCCAGTTTCTCCAGACGTTGAGTGGTCTGCAGACCAGGCGCTCACCCTGAAGGCTGGTGAGAACGTGAAGCTCAGCTGCAGCATCATTGGACGTCCCGTGCCCCAGGTCATCTGGTATAAGGATGGCAAAGAGATTGACAGGAGGACCATGTATGACATCGAGATTACCTCCGACATTGGCACCAGCAGTCTTTTTATACGCGATGCTAACAGGAACCACCGTGGCATCTACACAATAGAGGCGAAAAACAGCTCCGGTACCAAGAGAGCTGATGCCAACGTCCGAGTACAAGGTTCGTGAACACAGCTGATGATGTTACGATATCTGATATTTCATGATTCAATAATTGTCAGACCTATTTATACTATTGAACACTTTTTAACCTCTACAATCTCTTTCCCTGCAGATACACCCGGACCTGTTGAGGGTCCCATCCGTTTCACCGGCATCACGGCTGAGAAGTGCACCGTGTGGTGGAACCCGCCGGAGAACGACGGCTGTGCTGCCATCACCCACTATGTGGTGGAGAAGAGGGAGACGTCCAGGATCTCCTGGGCCATGATCACCTCCAAATGTGAAGCCTGTTCTTACAATGCTGCAAACCTCATCAAGGGCAACGAATACCAGTTCAGGATCTCTGCTGTCAACAAGTCTGGTGTCGGCAAACCTCTGGACTCTGATCCCTTCATTGCACAGATGCAATACAGTAAGTCACTCATGGGTATTTGATCTCTGAAATATTGACCTTAAAACTAAATGACCCAATATACTAGGGCTGTGCGATTATGGCAAAAATCATAATCACGATTATTTTGGTCAATAATTGATATCACGATTATTAAAAACGATTATCCATTTACTTTGAAAACATCCATATATTGAAAAAAAAATGTGAACAGTATGTTTTTAACAGTTGATTACCCTGAACTTCAAGTATAATTCAACTGAAAAACCAAAAAAAAAAAAAAAAATTTTAAATTTTTAAAAAAAAAATTTTAATAAAAATAATAATCGTTTTATTTCGATTACATTGTTTTCGTAATCGTTGCAAGCCAAAATCGTAATCGAGATTAAAATACGATTAATTGCACAGCCCTACAATATACTTCACAATCTGCTTTATTCTCATGCCATATGTTCTGCTCTCTTCAGCTGTGCCGGATGCCCCTGGTACCCCAGATGCCACCCATGTGACTGGAAACAGCATCACCATGTGCTGGACCAGACCAAGGTCAGATGGAGGCAACGAGATTAAGCAGTACATCCTGGAGAGGAGAGAGAAAAAGAGCTTACGCTGGCTGAAGGTTTCCTCCAAGAGAACCATCACAGAGCTGAGACACCGTGTCACCAACCTCACAGAGGGCAACGAGTATGAATTCCGTGTCATGGCAGAAAATGGAGCTGGCATCGGACCGGCCAGCAGTACTTCCAGGCTCATCAAGTGCAGAGAACCAACAAGCGCTCCTAGCACACCCACATTGATCAAGGTAGGACTGCAGGAACATTGCATTGATGAAAAGATTCACATTTCCAGATTGTTTTGAACAGAATGTGACAATAAATGTTGGTCTTTTCTTGTTGATCAGGTCGCTGACTCCACCAAGAACTCTGTCACCCTGGAATGGACCAAGCCTGTCTTTGATGGCGGCTTGGAAATCATCGGCTACAACGTCGACATGTGCAAGGCCAGTCTGGAGGAGTGGCACAGAGTCAACAGCCAGATATGCATCCACACCAGTTACACTGCCAAGGGCCTGGTGCCTGGAGAGCTCTACAGGTTCAGGGTCAGCGCTCTGAACGGGGCCGGAGAGGGCGAATCCTCAGGGTTGCCGAATGCTGTTCAGGCTCTGGACAGACTCAGATCTCCTGAGATTGAACTGGATGCCAGCTTCAAGCAGACCCACATTGTGAAGAATGGCAGCACTGTCACCCTCCATGTTCCCTTCAGAGGGAAACCAGCGCCTCTTGCCACCTGGTCTAGGGTAGATGGGGAGCTGCCTGTCATGGCTGATGTTAACACCACAGAATGCAGCTCCACTCTGACCATTGAGAGCTGCACGAGGTACGAAGCCGGCAAATACACCCTGTCCCTGGAGAACAACAGCGGTCGCAAGTCCATCACCTTCACTGTCAAAGTGCAGGACACACCCGGACCTCCGGCAGCTATTACCTTCAAAGACGTAACACGCGGAGCCTTAACGGTTATGTGGGACGCCCCCACCAATGATGGCGGAGCCCGGGTCCACCACTACATCGTGGACAAGCGGGAGGCCAGCCGCCTGGCGTGGCAGGAGGTCAGCAGCAAGTCCTCTCGCCAGATGATCAGGGTCACAGGTCTGGATGTCGGTATACCATACGTGTTCAGGGTGATTGCTGTGAACCAGTACGGCCAGGGAGAACCTTTCGAGATGACAGAGCCCGTCATGGCCACAGAGGAACCTGCACCACCCAGGAGACTGGATGTTGTAGACACCACCAACTCCACAGCCTCCCTGGTGTGGCTGAAGCCCGAGCACGATGGAGGCAGCCGCATCAGAGGCTACATTGTTGAATTCAAAGCTAAAGGCACCGACCACTGGAATGTTGGCGGAGAGACCAGATCTATGAAGATGCTGTTGGAGGGCCTGATTGAGAATACAGAGTACGACTTCAGAGTGAGTGCCAAGAACGATGCTGGAACCAGCGAGCCTCAGGGCACCTTCAGCTCCGTGGTCATCAAGGAGCCTCGCATCGAGCCGACAGCCGACCTCAGCAGCATCACCAACCAGCTCATCACCTGCAAGATCTCCAACAACTTCACAATCAGCATCCCCATCAGCGGCAGGCCTGCACCCAAGGTCACCTGGAAACTGGAGGAGATGAAGCTGAAGGAGTCTGACAGAGTCTGCATCACCACCACAAAGGAGATCACTACTCTGACGGTTAGAGACAGCAAGAGAAGCGACAGCGGCAAGTACTACCTGTTCCTGGAGAATGTTGCCGGTGTGAAGACGTTCACAGTGACCGTGGTTGTCGTGGGCAGGCCGACTCCACCCACAGGCCCTGTGGTGATTTCTGAGGTCTCTTCAGAGTCCTGCAGCCTGTCCTGGTCCGAGCCAGCCGACGATGGCGGCACGGAAATCGGCAACTACATCGTGGAGAAACGGGAGTCCGGCTCCGCCTCCTGGCAAGTCGTAAACTCCAGTGTGAAGAGAACCACCATCAAAGTGACCAACCTCACCAAGTACATGGAGTACACCTTCAGGGTGTGCGCCGAGAACAAGTTTGGAGTCAGCAAGTCCACCGAGTCTGCTGCAGTGGTCATTGAGCATCCATTTGGTAAGTTCTGCTAGACGAAAGTCAATTACAAGACCTTTTTATTGGGGTTTCGTTTTATTGGCAGCTTGAAAAAATCCAAACAATTACAAATTATTTTCACATGCAAATCAATTTCCATTTCATCAACAAAGCTACATGTTTTTATCCATATGATCTTAACCACCATTCTCCTCCACAGTTCCTCCAAGTCCTCCAACTCGTCCAGACGTGGTTTCCGTGTCCGCGAACGCCATCGGCATCAAATGGGACTTGCCCTATGACGACGGCGGCAGCAAGGTGACGGGCTACTGGATCGAGAAGAAGGAGAGGAACACCATCCTGTGGGTGAGGGAGAACAAGCTGCCCTGCCTGGAGTGCCACTACAAGGTGTCCAACCTGATCGAGGGCCTGGAGTACCAGTTCAGGGTGTACGCCATGAACATCTCCGGATTCAGCAAGGCCGGCGAGGCTTCCCGACCCATGGTGGCCCTCAATCCTGTTGGTGAGGGAAACGTTAATGTCTACGTCCATGACAGGTCGTTCAGCATATGTAACACAAGATGTGGTCAGCCAAGAGCTTCTATATCTGAAAGAATGGGGACACAGGATACTCCTCAGGGTTAGAGCAGGGTGTTACCAGTATCTGACCTGCATTTAGTCGTCTCAGTACTCAATCACAACAAGTTGAATCATGAATCTTATCTTAAAGGCTTTGTAATTAAAGCTTAATAACCCCTCTTCTCCATCTCAGATCCTCCCGGTAAACCCGAGGTGACGGACATCACTCGCAACTCAGTGTCGCTGTGCTGGACCATCCCGTCCAACGACGGCGGCAGCAAGATCGTGGGCTACGTGGTGGAGAGGAAAGTCCACAGCACGGACGAGTGGGATGACAACCGCTGGCTCAAGTGCAACTACACCACCATCAGCGAGAACTACTTCACCGTCACCAACCTGGGAGAGGGAGAGACCTTCGAGTACCGGGTCATCGCCAAGAATGCCGCCGGCGTCCACAGCGCAGCCTCCGAGATCACCGGACCGGTCACATGCAAGGATGAATACTGTAAGTACAAGAGTTCTAAAACCTTTAGGTTCTCATATTGGAATAAAGTCTAATTGTCTCTTCTGCTGCAGCTCCTCCTAAAGCCGAGCTGGACAGTAAGCTGGTGGGTGAGACCATCATCGTCAACGCCGGCTCAGACCTGGTTCTGGACGGCGCCGTGGGCGGGAAACCCGAGCCCACCGTGTACTGGTCCAAGAGCGACAAGATCCTGGAGCTTGGAGAGAAGTACTCCCTGACCTACACCGCCACCAGAGCCATGGCCGTCATCAAGAGCTGCGACCGCTACGACACGGGGAAATACGTCCTGACCGCCAAGAACGCCAACGGACTGAAGACCGCCGTCGTCAACGTCAAAGTCCTGGGTGAGCACACGGGACGTTAACATGAACTGTAAACATTATTAAATAACTCTGTTGACTCCTAACGATCAGATTCAGATTAAAAATACAAAATATAATCAACAAATCCTTTATCATACTATTAGAGGTAAACATATACTTCATTCATCATTTAGAGAAACAGGTACGTCATTAGTGCATCAAATATATAATCCTTGAACCAAATGTGTTATTGTGCTTTATGAGGTCCTTTACCTTTAGCACTTGAAGTACTCTCTGATGCTAATTAGGGTTCCTGCAAATCCATAAAAAGGCTTGAAAGGTTCAAACAAATATTTCATTCTTAAAATAATCGTCTTAATGAGAATCAAAATGCCTTAAGGTCTTAACCTGTTAAGCCCCAAAGCCCCCGTCGGAGGGTCTTTTTTTAAATTTGTTTTTAATTTTTTATTAATTTTTTTTATTTTAATTTTTTTTCTTTGGATGGAATGAATACCTATGGTGATAATTTAATGTAATACATCATTTTTATAGTCTGGTACCTGAAAAAGGTCAAATGGCACTGATGGAACCAGATGCACCCAAATGTGCCGAAAGCTTATTCCGCCTGGAACTTCTTTTTGCTAAATCTCTCTAAAAAGGTCACATTTAACTTGTTTTGCCTCAATCTTGATACAGGGTACTTATTATATGTTATAGTTTGGATTCCTAAAGCTTTTAGTCTACCATCCCATCATTCAAGGGTGGTTTTCACTATAAGTAATGTTTTTTCTTTAGGCGGAGGTAAGAATTTACCTTTTTTTACTATGTTCCATCTGAATTTACTCTGACTGAGAAACATCTATATTTATTCTGACACTTCTACATCCAACTCACAGATGTAACCTTGCTTTGAGAAAAGAAATTATTCATATAACCCTTTTAGAAGTGAAGTTGTAGTCATTTGTTTTGGGCATGTCATTTTCGAGCCTGAAACCTGAAAAACAGGCTCGGGGCTTAACAGGTTAAAAGTTATGAAACTGATTTTGCATTATAATATCTCATAGTTGCCAACATCTATTGTTTGTTATTGAAATGTGACTGCCTATCATCACCGTCTTATGGATCTAGAGCTCGGAGATATTGAGGGAACATTGTTTCTTAAATGAAGTCTAAATCTTAACTCACTTGAGTGTTTGTAATCGTTGGCGTTCCTCCGCTGAGTAGCAGATGATCTGTGAACTGAACTCTGATTGAACTCCGTCTCTCCCCCTGCAGACACCCCCGGAGCTCCGGCCGACAGCATCACCATCAGCAGGGTGACGGAGGAGAAGTGCTCCGTGTCCTGGAAGATTCCCCTGGAGGACGGCGGAGACATCGTCACGCACTACATCGTGGAGCGCCGCGAAACCAGCCGCCTCAACTGGGTCCTCATGGAGACGGAGTGCAAGACGCTGGCCTGCGTCAGCAGCCACCTCATCAAGAACAACGAGTACGTGTTCAGGGTCCGCGGAGTCAACAAGTTCGGAGTCGGAGTTCCTCTGGAGTCCGAGCCCGTCCGAGCCAGGAACGCTTACAGTAAGTGAACTCTTTTTAGTGAATGTACCAGAGGGCACGAGATACTACAACGTGATTATCCCGCTGACATGGGGTTTGGGAGTCGTTGTAGAAGGAAATACATTAAAGAAACAAGGTGAATGATTGAAAATGAGATGGTGGAAAATATCAGGTTTTGGAAAACAGACATAGAAGAACACGGGTCATTGAAAGTGCTTGAATTTGGGGTAATCTGGCCTGGAAAGGGTCTTGAATTTGTCATTCTAACTTTAAATGGAACATAAAACATATTAGTAAATCATTTCCCATTTGGGATCATTATGTTTCATTCATACATTCCAGTTGTTTAGGAATGAATGTTTTTGATTCATCTTCATTTCATCATCTTGGGTTTAAGTATTTAAAACGTCAAAGTTCAGATTCATATTTGAAAATATTAGCAAAAAAACAACTAAATGTTTTCAGATGATTTCTGAATTCCAGGTTTCAAAAAGTCAAAATGCTCCCCTGTGTAATCCCACTCTAAATACTGTGCCCCCCCCCCCCCTCTCTCTCTCTGCAGCCATCACGTCTCAGCCGGGCACTCCGGAGGTGACGGCGGTGGCCAAAGAGCACGTGGTCATCGAGTGGCTGAAGCCCGAGACGGACGGAGGCAGCGAGATCAAGACGTACCTGGTGGACAAGCGAGAGAAGAGCAGCACCAGGTGGACCCGGGTGAACAAGAACTACACCATCTACGACACCCGTCTGAAGATCGCCGGGCTGCTGGAGGGCAGCGAGTACCAGTTCAGGGTGACGGCCGTCAACGCTGCTGGAGACAGCACGCCGAGCGACGCCTCGCCCTACATCCTCTGCAAAGACCCCACATGTAAGAGAGAATAGAATACAATCATTTCATGCAATGCAACATGTCCCACATCAGGATCAATAAAGTACTTATCTGATCTGATCTTGTGAAACACTTTATGAATGTCTCTGTTTCCCCTCAGACACCCCGGCTACTCCCTCTATGCCTCGCATCACGGACACCACGAAGCACAGCATCAGCATGAAGTGGACGCGCCCGATGTACGACGGCGGCAGCAACGTCAGCGGCTACGTGGTGGAGATCCTGGAGGAAGGGACGGAGCAGTGGTACCGCGCCACCGCCAAGGCCCTGAAGACCAATGAGTACGTGGCCGCCGGACTCGCCTCCAACAAGAGGTACCGCTTCAGAGTCGCCGCCATCAACAGCAAGGGAACCGGAGAGTTCAGCGAGGCCAGCGCCGAGGTGGAGCCGCTGGAGAGGATCGGTGAGTCAGGGAGGAACACAATTACACACAAATAAAGATTCTTCTTCATCAGTCTTCAAATGACACGATGCCCAGGAGCAGGCGGAGCACTAGGATCATATACTTTATCATTAATGACTTCTCCTCAATCTTCTGCAGAAATCCCGGACCTGGAGCTGTCGGACGACCTGAAGAAGACGGTGTGTCTGCGTGCCGGTGGGACGCTGCGCCTGGTGGTGTTCGTCAGCGGCCGCCCCGCCCCGGTGATTTCCTGGAGGAAGACGGGGGTTGAGCTGCAGAGCCGTGGACACATCGAGAACACGGAAAGCTACACCGCCCTGACGGTGGAGAAGGTCAACCGCTACGACTCCGGGAAATACATCGTGGAGGCGGAGAACCCGTCGGGAAAGAAGAGCGTCGTCGTCCTCGTCAAAGTCTACGGTACGACACAGAGAGGAGTCACACAGGGGGACGTGGAGAACAAATACCAGCTTCAAGTTGTTCTGGGTTTAATTGACTTTTGAAAGTTGCTGAGAACTTAAAAGACATCTAGCCTTAAGATGACGTATTGTATTTCTGTAGTCCACAGCTGGAGTAGATCCTCCAATCAGAATCTTTTTAAAAAGGAATATTGAGATCCTGGAAGAGTCACACCTTAAATAAACAATGTAATACAAAGACTGTAAACTAACATCTCCTCCCCCTCCTGCAGACACGCCCGGCCCCCCCACCTCTGTGAACGTGAAGGACTACACCAAGGAGTCGGTGGTGATCACCTGGGACGTTCCCAGCATGGACGGCGGCGCCCACGTCAGCAACTACATCGTGGAGAAGCGCGAAGCCAGCATGAAGTCTTACAAGACGGTGACCACGGAGTGCCGGAAAACGCTGCTCCGCATCACCGGGGTGGAGGAGGGCGTGCACTACTTCTTCAGAGTGCTGCCGGAGAACATCTACGGCGTGGGCGAGGCCTGCGAGACCCTGGAGGCGGTGTTGGTGTGCGAGGTGCCGTCGGTGCCGCTCGACCTGCAGCTGGTGGACGTCAACAAGTCGTCGGCCACGCTGCGCTGGGAGCGGCCGGTGCACGAGGGAGGAAGCCGAATCAACGGCTTCTCCATCGAGGCGTGCAAGGTGGGATCAGAGAGGTGGACCGCGGTGGCCTCCGTGAAGGCGTCGGCGTCTCAGCACACCGTCACCGCGCTCACCGAGAACGACCAGTACCTGTTCAGGGTCAGAGCCACTAACAGCAGGGGGGCCAGCGAGCCCATGGACACCGTCACCCCCGTCACCATCCAGGACATCAAGGGTGAGACACACATCTCATTACAGAACTGGGACGTGGCTATAACCTGGACAAAGTTGTTGACACCCACATGTATCAAACATTTCAGTTTTTAGAAATGGACAATTAGTAGTTGGGACTGCAAGATAAACAAATACAATCTTTGGATGATATGGATATTTATATTCTAGTTATATATTTACAACCACAAAAAAGTCCAACTGGTGGTCCTTTGCACGTCTTAGTTGCGCCACCATCCCTAAAGGTTAGACGAGCATACCAGAGATAATGAATTATAACATGCCCCCCTCTCTCTTTGTGTTTAGTGATGCCAAAGATCGACATGACCAGCATCCCTCAGAAGATCGTGTACGTTCACCGGGGGAAACCCATCGAGCTGAACCTGCCCGTGGTGGCCCAGCCGCTGCCCGTCTGCTCCTGGTCCTTCTCCGGAGAGAAGCTGAAGGACAGCCTCGACCGCATCACGATCGACGGCAGCCGGCTGACGGTGCGCGACACGACCATCAACGACACCGGGGACTACGCCCTGGAGGTGAAGAACGCCCTGGGCAAAGCCAGAGAGGTCATCAAGGTCATCATCCTCGGTAAGAGACACTGAATATCAAAATATATCTTTAGTGGTAGAGATTGAGATTAAATGACGTGCAAATCATTAAACATCCCATTCCTCCGGGGTCCCCTCAGATAAGCCCGGCGTCCCGGTGGGCCCGGTCCGGATCGAGGAGGTGGACGGGCTGTCGGTGACGACCAGCTGGGATCCTCCGGAGAAAGACGGCGGAGCCAACGTGACGGGCTACGTGGTGGAGCAGCGCGACGCCCACCGGCCCGGCTGGTGCACCGTGTCTGAGTCCGTGACCCGGCCCTGCTACAAGTTCTCCCGCCTCTCCGAGGGAACCGAGTACGTGTTCCGCGTCGCCGCCATGAACCGCTTCGGAGTCGGAAGGTTCCTGCAGTCGGAGGTGGTCGAGAACAAGAGCCCCAAGAGTGAGTCCATCGCAATCTGTCCTCCTGGAATGAACGTCTTATTGAAGGGCTTCCTGTTGGGGTCAAGGGTTATTCATCCACATCCTGCAACACGGGACTGGAGTTCCTTTAGATACTCAAGAGAAAACAACTAATCAAACACTAGAGAACAACAACAACAACAACCAGTTAGCAGTTAAAAGCAATTTGAGATACGGTTTTTAGTCATGTAAACGTACAGGTAGAAAAAGGGAGTATTTTGTATAAATGGCTTCAAACCCAGCATGCAGGATTTGAAGCTTTATCCACCCAACAACAGCAAAGCTTCAGTTCAGATCAAAGCGTGTTGGGACAGTTACATCACAGTCCTTTGCAATCACAGTTAGAATCTGATGTCTTTCTGTAACTGAGTGTTCATGTGTTTGTTTAAAGGTTAGCAGGTTTCCTAATGACCGTTTTAAACCACGACTTTGAGCTTGAGTTCCCTAAACTAAACCCCTGTCCCCCTCTCACAGCGATCCCCGGCGCCCCCAGCCAGCCGGAGGTCCTGGATGTGACCCACGAGGGCATGACGCTCACGTGGTTCGCCCCAGAGGACAACGGTGGCTCCACAATCGCTGGATACATCATCGAGCGTAAGGAGGCGCAGTCGGAGCGCTGGATGAAGATCAGCAAGAACCCGGTCACCATGACCCGGTTCCGCTCCTCCGCGCTCACCGAGGGCCAGGAGTACGAGCACCGCGTCACCGCCATCAACTCCCGGGGCGAGGGGAAGCACAGCGAGGCCTCCGAGATCACCGTGGCCATGGACCCCATCGGTACGGGAAGAGATCAGCATCATTTAAATCCTGTGTTACTATATAAATGCCCTCTAATGCCTCAGTGTAAATGCCCTCTAATGCCTCAGTGTAGATACCCTCTAATGCCTCAGTGTAACTCTAATGCCTCAGTGTAGATACCCTCTAATGCCTCAGTGTAGATACCCTCTAATGCCTCAGTGTAACTCTAATGCCTCAGTGTAGATACCCTCTAATGCCTCAGGGTATTAACAGTATTCTGTGTGTTCTCAGACCCCCCTGGAGCTCCTCTCCGCCCCACCGTCACAGACACCACCCGCTCCTCGGTGTCTCTGGCTTGGCAGCCGCCGGAGGAGGAGGGCGGCGCCGCCGTCACCGGGTACTTCATCGAGATGCAGAAGGTGGACCAGGTGGAGTGGACCCTGTGCAACACCACCCCCACCAAGATATGCGAGTACACCCTCACTCACATGCCTCAGAGCGCCGAGTACAAGTTCAGAGTCATCGCCTGCAACCCTGGAGGAACCGGGGAGGCAGCCGAGGTGCCGGGGGTGGTGAAGGTCCAGGAGATGCTGGGTGAGTGGAGACCAGGTCCATGAACACCATTGAGCTCATTAAAGGAATTCAACCCATTCTACAATATGCTAAAGAAAAACATGGAATCTACTTTATTTCTGTCGCGTTATTCGACTTTTTGTCTGTAAAAAAATCTACTTTACAAACTTTTTTCCCACTAAATTGTTACAATTCTGTTTATAACAGTTTCTGATTTTATCTACTCTATTTTTTGAAATATTTGAACCTTTTCTGTCGCATTATTACGACTTTTTCTCTGTAAAATGTTCAATTTGACTTTTTTTCTGACATTATTAAGACTTTTAAAAAAATATAACAGATTAAAAAACTGTTTTATTGAAATATTACATTTTGTTCCCCTGAAAAGTTCCGGGAAATTATTACGTCTTTTTTCTTCCAAATATTACAATACTTTTCAAAACAGTTTCAGATTCAAACTTCCCTATTTTTTTAATTATTTGAACCGTTTTTCTATATATATTACAATAAAAAAAGAGATGTTTGCCTCTGCTAACATGTCCTCCAGTGTCGCTCTGTAGAAGCCTCTGAACATGAACATTTATCACACTGAGATGTTGCCTCATGTGCTTTTGTAAACGTACGTGTAACCCGTGTCTCCTGCAGGCTACCCCGACTGCGAGCTGGATGCTAAGTACGAGGAGGGCTACGTGGTGCGGCAGGGCGGCGTCATCCGCCTGTCCGTCCCCATCAGAGGGAAACCCATCCCGTCCTGCAAGTGGACGAAGGACGGCCGCGACATCGCCCACCGCGCCATGGTCGCCTCCAACGACGACGTCACGGAGCTGGTGATCAAAGAGGCGCACAAAGACGACACAGGCTCCTACGACCTGGTGCTGGAGAACAAGTGCGGCAAGAAGGTCGTCTACATCAAGGTGAGGGGGCACACTGACTCTGGGGGGGGGGGCTACAGGGTTATTATGGGATATATCGCCCCTAGTTATTACCAACTATAGTCCCACATTGTGAAGAACCCCCAAACCAACTTCGTCCCTGACATTTAACCCATTACCACTCCTTTTTAGGATACAACCCAAACAAATGCAAACTATTTCCTAAATTATAACCAAATATAATAATAATTGTTATTAAAATGTCTTATGTTACAAAATAAATCGCCCGTTGTTCAAAGAGCTTCAGTCTTGCAAAGTTGTGGTGTGTATCATTGTTATGAGAGTGTGTGAAGGTGCTCTATGGATAAAGTTGTCTGTAGATGTTATTGAACGTTTCCCCCCCCCCCCCTCAGGTGAAGGTGATCGGTCGCCCCGATGTTCCTGAAGGTCCTCTGGAGTTCGACGACATCCAGGCGCGCTCAGTGCGTGTCAGCTGGAGGCCGCCTTCAGACGACGGAGGATCCGACATCCTGGGCTACGTGGTGGAGAGGAGGGAGGTGCCGAAGGCCGCGTGGTGCACCGTGGACTCCCGGGTCATCGAGACCTCTCTGGTGGTGAAGGGTCTGAAGGAGAACGTGCAGTACCACTTCAGGATCTCTGCGGAGAACCAGTTCGGCATCAGCAGGTGTCTGAAGTCCGAGGAGGCCGTCACGCCCAAAACGCCTCTGTGTGAGTATCTGTCAGAACGGCTGAGATTCATTCTGCGACATGAACGCTTATTTAGTCACCATGTAATCCTTACGTTGTCCCTGTCTTCCACACATCTGGAAACACTCATGATGAATTATTGTAATACAGTTGTACAGGAAAGCTTCATTTCTAATGTAAAAGCTCCAATCATTCGGGTCCCTTTTTATATATTACAGATATCTTGGTTATAAGTTGATAAAAAACACATTTTTTGACAAAATAAATGCTCAGCTGTTCTTAAAGATTTCACTCACACCTAATATCCCCCTCCAGGCCCACCAGAGCCCCCCAGCAACCCCCCGGAGATCATGGAGGTCACCAAGACCACGGTGGCCCTGTCCTGGTCTCGGCCGAGGGACGACGGCGGCTCCAGAGTCACCGGCTACTACGTGGAGAGGAGGGAGGTGTCCACGGAGAAGTGGGTCCGCCACAACAAGACCCACATCACCACCACCATGTACAACGTCTCCGGACTCATCCCCGACGCAGAGTACATGTTCAGGGTGGTCGCGCAGAACGACATCGGCAAGAGCGAGGCCGGACCCCCCTCGGAGTCCGCGGTCTGCAAGGATCCATTCGGTGAGACCACGGGACGGGGGGGGTCTCTGCAGGAATTCACTCTCTATGCAACACCTGAGAGAAATCTTCCTATTCTTATTGTATTTCTCCGTTTGCCTTATTCACAGATGTTTTGAATTGTGACAGAATACATCATATTAACGTCATGCTTGTGGAAGAAAATCTTTTTTTTATTTAAGAGAAAACTTGTTTAGAAACAAAGGAATATTTACTGGATTGCAATCAAGAGCATTTTTCAGACATTCTGGCACTTTGATGACAGTCAGCGCCTCAAATACATGTCTGAGGTTTTTTCTTAATCACATAAAGTATATCAGGTATTGGAAAATGGCAACCATATGTTCAGTAGGGGCAACCATAAGCTCCAGTTACTCTAAGGCAGGGGTGTCAAACCCAAGGCCCGGGGGCCAAATCCGGCCCGCGACTTCATTTTATGTGGCCCCACAAGAGCTTGCAAAGAATATAATATGTTTATTATACGGTTACATGCTACTTTACAGAAGCACGTTGCCCATAAACTACATGTCCCACAATGCATCTCAAATTTGACTTTTTCTTAGAATTAGCCTTTTTCTCATAAATAGATTTTTTTTTCAAAATGTCACTTCTCTTTTTCAAAATGTCACAATCAATGTTTTTCCAGAATGTGGCTTTTCTTTTAAAATCATATTGTGACATTCTTACTGAAGAGACTTGCAATTATTTGCTCTAGACTTCTGCTTTCAGACGTAGTTAATTATGAAGTTATATTAATTAATGATATAGTCTTAAAGTTACAACCGGCCCTTTGAGTGCAACCATAATGCTGATGTGGCCCGTGATGAAATTGAGTTTGACACCCCTGCTCTAAGGGCTATGTTTTGTGTTTATGTTCATTTAAGTGGAATCGTGGGTTTCTGTAGAACTGGTTTTTCATACAAAATGAGTCTTTCCATTTGTTCTAATCCCCTCCCCCTCTGTCTCCATGCAGACAAACCCAGCCAGCCCGGTGACATCGACATCATCTCCATCACCAAAGACTGCATCACCATCCACTGGCTGCGGCCCGAGTTCGACGGAGGCAAAGAGATCCTCGGCTACTGGATCGAGTTCAGGGAGGCCGGAGAGAGCGCCTGGAAGAAATGCACCAAGGAGCGCTCCAAGGACCGGCAGTTCACCATGGGCGGCCTGATGGAGGCCACCGAGTACGAGTTCAGGATCTTCGCCGAGAACGAGACCGGACTCAGCCGACCCCGCCGCACGCCCATGGGCATCAAGACCAAACTGAGCGGTGAGTGGACGCAGGGTTCAGGAGCTTTTATGAGATGTATAGGCCCCTCAAATATTCTTTGATGATATTTTGAAAGTTTATTTTGTTCAGAAATGAAAATACAATCTGGAAAAGCAAAGATAAACCGGCCTGTAACCCTGGGGTAATTACGTGAGCGAGCTTGTGCTAACTCACTGCAGAAATGATCACTATGGGCTAGCTAGTCAATACACATTATTATTTAAATATCTTAGTATGTTATGCACCAAATGCACCAATGTAGGCCACCTTACACTGTGTTGTTTGCAGAGACATCAATGTTATACATATCAGTCAGGGGTCCCTGATTGTAAAGGGTCTTTAGCCCTAACAACGTTAAAGGCCACTGCTTTAAAACATGCTCATTAGTTCCAATGCTGTAATCAGTGAACTCTCTCACAGAAACAAAATGAACCAGCAGTTTGTGATGCGTCCTGGGTAGTTTGACAGTAAATAATGTGCATATTAAAATGGTTTTATAGTCATTTAAGAATGGAATCATACCGATTGTAAACGTTTGATATTTAATTGAATCTTTTCTGATGTCCCTGCAGTTGGTGAGGCTCCCGCTCTGAAGCAACTGATGGAAGACGTCACCACGAAGCTCGGGGAATCCGGCACTCTGACCTGCGCCATCGTCGGCCGCCCGCTGCCCGAGATCAAGTGGTACCGTTACGGCAGGGAGCTGATCCAGAGCCGCAAGTACAAGATGAGCTCGGACGGCAGGAACCACTCAATTAGCGTCCTGACAGACGAGCAGGAGGACGAGGGTGTTTACACCTGCCGCGCCGTCAACCAGGCGGGCGAGGTCGAGACCAGCGGAAAGCTGCGCCTTCAAGCAGCGCCGCAGTTCCACCCCGGCTTCCCTCTGAAGGAGAAGTACTACGCCGGCGCAGGAACCAGCCTCCGCCTCCACGTGGTCTACATCGGACGTCCCATCCCTCAGATCATGTGGTTCTATGACAAGAAGCCTCTGAACACATCGGAGAACGTGATCATTGAGAACACGGAGAGCTACACCCACCTGGTGGTGAGGAACGTGCAGAGGAAGACCAACGCCGGCCGCTACAAGGTGCAGCTCAGCAACGTGTACGGCACAGTCGACACGTCGCTGCGCGTGGAGATCCAAGGTAACAACACACCACTGAGAGTCTACATATGAAATAGTTTAGTCTTCAAGTGAAAACAGATTTGAATAAGTTGGTTTAGGGCAGGCTATGCGTGTTGGGGGTTCCCAAAGATCCTTCAAAAAGTTTTCAAAGACATGAAGTCCCAACATAATGTTTGAAGGTGTGGATTTAAAATAAATGTTGATTGGTCTTGTCCAATTTTAGACATTGGTCGAAAAACGTGCATTATTGACAAAAGATGTAATATTGTATTTTCTGAACAGCAGTCTATTTAAACTCATAAGTATGCCTCTGACTGAGCAGTGTTTTATTTAAATATATTTCAATGCATTCCCACAGATAAACCATGCATCCCTGAGGGCCCTCTGGTTGTTGAAGCCCTGCTGAAGAGCTCCATGGTCATCAGCTGGAAGGCTCCCAAGGACGACGGAGGCTCCATGATCACCAACTACATTGTGGAGAAACGTGAGGCCAAGGAAGGTGAGGTGTGGAACCTGGTGTCCTCCTCCGTCTCTGGCACCACCTGCCGAGTCCCCAACCTGATAGAAAACGCCGGATACTACTTTAGAGTCTCTGCGCAGAACCAGTATGGAGTCAGCGAGTCTCTGGAGATCCAATCTGTGGTCATCGTCAAGAGTCCATTTGGTGAGTCCACACATATTTGGTTTGCTTTCTGATGCATTGCAGAGACTATCTTAACCGTTCATGTGGAGCACTATTATAACATCGCCTGTGTGTTTCCTAGAAAAACCTGGCATCCCACAGCAGCCGTTCATCATGAGCTCCACCAAGGACTCCTGCGTCGTCTGCTGGAAGCCTCCAAGCAGCGACGGCGGCGCTAAGGTCTCCGGCTACTACCTGGAGAAACGCGAGAAGAAGCAGAACAAGTGGATGTCCGTCACTAGCAAGAAGATCCAGGAGACCAGCTTCGAGGTCAAGGCCTTGATCGAGGGCTTCGAGTACGAGTTCCGTGTCAAGTGCGAGAACTTGGGCGGCGAGAGCGACTGGAGCGAGATCTCAGCGCCAATCACCCCCAAGTCCGAACAATCTCTTCGCGCTCCCGCCTTCAGAGAGGAGATCCGGGACATGACAGCCAAATACAAGGCCAATGCCACATTCGTCACCAAGGTACTTTATTTAAACTACACAGCATTTGCTTTTAGGAATACACTAGCGGCTGGATTTGATATAAAGGATCCTGTTTAAATGTCACAGTGTTGGTAAAATGTGCGTATGAAATAAAGGGTACCATCAGTGGCAACCATGTTGGACATTACAATAATTGCTTGGTTTCTCTTAATACATCATGATATAAAGCCAATTATGTATTGATTGTCTATAATACTTCTAAAAAACACTTTCCTTAGTGACTTCGTTGCAACATCCACATTTGAGGGACCGTCATAGCTAACTTTGTTATTTCCCAATGACCAGGTGGTGGGATATCCCAAGCCTCTGGTGAAATGGTATCGCAGTGGAAAGGAGATCGAGGCTGATGGAACAAAAATTAAAGCCCAGGAGTTCAAGGGAGGCTACTTCCAACTGGTGATCATTGCCGCTGATGAGTGCGACGCCACCGTTTACCAAGTCAGAGCAACCAACTCCTCTGGATCCATCTCCACCACCGCAAACCTGGAGGTGGAAGGTAATGATAGAGATTTGTGTTGCAAAAATAAAAATCCTTCATGTTTTTTACAATCTATTAAGTGAAAAACATTATAAGTATACAACTAATGTCATATTTCTTTTTTTGTATTCCAGTTCCTGCCAAGATCCACCTTCCCAAGGAGCTCCAGGGAATGGGTGCAGTCAATGCTGCCCGTGGTGATAATGTCACCATCAAGATCCCCATCTCTGGAAAACCTGAGCCAGCAATCATTTGGCAGAAGGGTCAGGAGATCCTGTCCAACTCTCCATATCACCAAGTCATCACCACCAGGTCCTTCACCTCGCTGGTGTTCCAGAAGGGAATGGAGAGGAAGGATACCGGCTACTACATCCTAACCGCAAAGAACAGGTTCGGAACAGACAAGCAAACCATTGAGGTGAACGTGGCCGACATACCTGAACCACCAAAGGGACTGGTTGTCAGCGAAATCTCTCGAGACTCCATCACCTTGGCCTGGCAGCCACCTGCAAACGATGGCGGAAGCGACATCATTGGGTACATTGTGGAGAAGTGTCCCACAACCGCCGACAGGTGGATCCGTGCCGGACAGACCACCGACTGCGGCATCAACATCATTAACATATTCGGAAAGACCAAGTACCAGTTCAGAGTCATCGCCGAGAACCAGTTTGGCCTGAGTGCTCCTTGCCAGCCAACAGAGCCCATCACCACAAAGGAAGACAAGTCAGTGACTAGGAACTATGATGAGGAGGTGGACGAGACCAGAGAGGTCACCAAGGAGGAGGCTCTGGTCTACAAGGTGAAGGAGCTGACCTCCAAGTACGTCATCTCTGAGGAACTCGCCCGCTGCCAGTTTGGAATTGTCCACCGCTGCACGGAGATCGCCACAAAGAAGACCTTCATGGCCAAGTTCATCAAGGTGAAGGGAACCGACCGTGAGTTGGTCCTCAGAGAAATTGAAGCTCTCAACGTAGCAAGGCACAAGAACGTCATCTACCTGCATGAATACTTTGAAAGCATGGAGGAGATCATCCTCATCTTTGAATTTATTTCTGGAGTTGACATCTTTGAGCGCCTTGGCACCAGCAACTTTGAGCTGACAGAGCAGGAGATCGTCCGCTACCTGAGACAGGTCTGCTCTGCCCTCAAGTTCATGCATAGCAACAACTATGCACACTTTGATATCCGCCCAGACAACATTATCTACACCACCAAGAGAAGCACCACCGTGAAGATGATTGATATGGGCCAGGCTAGGCTGCTGGTGCCTGGTGAGAACATCAGAGCGCTGTTCTCCGCTCCGGAGTACTGCGCCCCTGAGATCCACCGCCACGACCTGGTCACAACGGCCACTGATATGTGGTCTGTTGGTGTGATGGCCTACATTTTGCTCAGTGGCCTGAATCCGTTCGCCGGAGAGTCCATTACAAAGATGATCGAGAACATCTCCAGCTGTGAGTACATCTTTGATAGCGAAGCATTCAAGGACATCAGCCTGGAGGCTATGGACTTTGTGGACAGACTTCTAGTCAAAGACAGGAAGCTCCGTATGACAGCCCACGAGGCTCTGGAACACCCATGGCTCAAGATGAAGATTGAGAATGTCAGCAACAAGGCCATCAGGACATTGAAACACAGAAGGTACTATCAGTCTCTGGTTAAGAGGACAGATACCATCGTATCATCAGCCCGTGTGGCCTATGGTGGTGCTTTCAAGAACCAGAGAGGATATGCTGTTGCTAAAGTGAAGATCGGAACCGAGTACCACGGCCTCCGCACGGGACCCGTCATGCACGGCTCCGCTGAGGAAGGTGGCCATATCAGATTCACTTGTAGCATCGTCGACTACGACAAGAGCACTCAGGTGTCATGGTTCTATGGAACCCGCCAGCTCCATGCAAGCAGCAAGTATGAAATGACTTACAGCAACGGATTTGCCAGCATCTATGTGAAGGACATTGAAGAGAGTGATAACGGAGTGTACAGGTGCAAGGTTGTGAGCGACGATGGAGAGGACAGTTCTTACGGAGAGCTGTTTGTTGATACCGTGAGGAGCATCAGAGAGCATTACATCAGCCGCTCCATAAAGAAACTGAGGAGGAGAGTCGACCAGGCTCAACTCCTGCAGAGACCACCAGAGTTCACTTTGCCTCTCTACAATCGCTCTGCCTACATTGGCGAGGATGTGCGTTTTGGTGTCACCATCACCGTGCACCCTGAGCCTCATGTGGCATGGCTTAAGAACGGAGAGAGAATGAAACCAGGCGAGGATGACAGGAAGTACACGTTCACCAGTGATAAGGGTCTGTACCAGCTGATGATCCACAATGTGGATGCAAGTGATGATGCAGAATACACCGTCATGGCCCACAACAAGTTTGGAGAAGACAGCTGCGTAGCCCGTCTCACTGTGACACCTCATCCAGTGATGGAGGAAACAATGAGGCCCATGTTCAAACGCCTGCTGGCTAATGTGGACTGTGTGGAAGGAAACAGCGTCCGCTTTGAGCTTAGAGTCTCAGGAGTCCCATCTCCTACTCTGAAGTGGAAGAAGGACGGTCACGCAATGGAGTTTGGCCCCAAGGTCGTTGTCATAGAGGAGGACGTTGACTACCATGTCCTGCACATCAGAAACACTCTGCTCGAGGACTCTGGTGTGTACCATGTTACTGCAACCAACTGTGCTGGATCTATAAGCTGCCAGGCCACCCTGAAGGTGGACCGCCTTACCTATACCAGGAGGGAGTACAAGAGCGAGGAGGAGAAATACATGTACGTACAGAAACAAATCGAAAAGACCAACAAAATGGCTCGGAAGATTGTTGCCACTGAGGAGATGGTAGCTCTGAACCCCACGGCCCAGGACGCACTCAAGTTTGCTGCAGAGATGTATAAGCCTGCGGTGGGCACCAAGAACGTGGAGGGAGAGTTTGACATCACTGTGCAGAAGTCGGAGACGAAGAAGCTGGAAGAGGAGAGGAGGATCTTCATGCCCTATGAGATCCCAGAGCCTCAGGTCCATGATCCCAAAGCTCTGGACGAGGACAAAACCATCAAACAGTTTGTGCCTCTTTCTGACATGAAGTGGTACAGGAAGCTGAGAGACCAGTATGTTGTTCCAGAGAGGATGGAGAAGATTGTGCAGAAGAGGCAGAGACGTATCCGCCTTTCCAGGTGGGAACAGTTCTATGTCGTGCCCCTCCCCAGAGTCACTGACCAGTACAGACCAAGATGGCGTATTCCAAAACTCAGTCTGGATGACCTGGAGACTGTCAGACCTGGCCGCCGTTCACCTTCTCCTGAATCCGAGGCTTCCTTCAGATCCAGAAGGAGATCTCTGGGAGACCTCAGTGACGAAGAGCTGCTGATGCCCGTGGACGACTACCTCTCCATGAGGAGAACCGAGGAGGAGAAGACAATGCTGGAGGACGAACTGGAGCTCGGCTTTTCTGCCTCTCCTTCCGGCAGCCCAGTACGCATGGAGGTGCGTGAAGAGAGAAGACGTGAGGTCCGACACGAGACTGTGGAGGTCACAGAGACCAAGAAGAAACGCACTGTTTCTCAGTTCATGAGGAGGAGGAGATCTCTGTCTCCCACATACATCGAGCTCATGCGTCCAGTCTCAGAGCTGATCAGACCATCTCGTGCTAGGACTGTGGAAGTGCAGGGAGAGGTTGTGACGAGGAGATCCCCCACCCCAGAGAGGACACGCCCCCGATCTCCCAGCCCAATCAGGTCCGCCGAGAGGTCGTCCCGCTCTTCCTCCAGGTTTGAACGGACCGCCCACTTTGACATCATGTCCCGCTACGAGGCCAGAAAGACTGCCCTGAAGTCCGAGAGGAAATACCAGGTGGTTAGCCAGACACCCTTCAGCCTGGACCATGCTCCCCGTGTGACCGTAAGGATGCGCTCTCATCGCATACCCATCGGCCAAGACACCAAGTTCACCCTGAACATCCAGTCCAAGCCCGACGCTGAGGTCAAGTGGTTGCACAACGGAAATGAAATCTCTGAGAGCAGCAACAAATATGTCTTCACCAACATGAGTGGAGTTCTGTCCATCGCTATTCTGGACTGCCAAGCGGAAGACAGTGGATCATACCGCTGCGTATGCTCCAACTCCAAGGGAGATGCTTCCGACTACGCCACCCTGGATGTGTCCGGTGGCGGCTACACCACCTTCTCCTCCCGCCGCAGGGATGAGGAAGTCATAAAGGGATTTGTCCCCGAAGTCACCAAGGTCGACCACTATCACACCACTCACTTCAAAGCTGGCTATTCTGCCGAGAGCCACTTACAGGTGGAAGAGAGCAACTCTAAGCTAACGGAGAAACATGAGGTTACCACACGGGAGAGATACGCCGCCTCCTCTGAGAGGTACTCCTCCGCTGAGAGGTACGATTCATCCATCAAGTTCGCAGCTGCTGAATACCTGTCATCTGATTCCTCCTACTCGTCAGAGAGGTTCTCCTCGTCTGCGAAACGCACCACATCTGAAGCTAAAGTGAAGTCAACCTCTGTCGGGGAAAGTGTCGTCCACAAAGTGGCGCCTTCTCTTCCCGCCAGGATGCTCACCAAGCCCCAGTCTGTGACCGTTTCAGAGGGAGAGTCTGCCAAATTCACCTGTGATATCGACGGAGAGCCTGCACCAACTGTAACGTGGATGCACGAGAGCCGGACCATCATCTCATCTCACCACGTCCAGGTCACCACCACTCAGTACAAGTCCAGCTTCGAGATCTCCTCTGTGACCATCTCCGATGAGGGCAGTTACACGGTTGTGGTCGAGAACTCGGCCGGCAGGCAGGAGGCTCACTTCACCCTGATCATCCGCAGACCAGCACCCACAGAGGAAGTCTCTGCAGTCAAATCCCCCACTCCCAGTGTCAAGTCACCAGAGCCTTCAGTCACATCACCGGCACCCTCTGCAACCTCCCCCGTGCCCAGCATCAAGTCCCCTGAGCCTTCAATTAAATCACCAACGCCGAGTGTGAAGTCTCCCGAACCAAGTGTAACGTCTCCCGCTCCGAGTGTGAAGTCACCAACGCCGAGTGTGAAGTCACCAACGCCGAGTGTGAAGTCACCCGAACCAAGTGTAACGTCTCCCGCTCCGAGTGTGAAGTCACCAACGCCGAGTGTGAAGTCACCCGAACCAAGTGTAACGTCACCAACGCCGAGTGTGAAGTCACCCCGAACCAAGTGTAACGTCTCCCGCTCCGAGTGTGAAGTCACCAACGCCGAGTGTGAAGTCACCCGAACCAAGTGTAACGTCACCAACGCCGAGTGTGAAGTCACCAACGCCGAGTGTGAAGTCACCCGAACCAAGTGTAACGTCTCCCGCTCCGAGTGTGAAATCCCCGACGCCGAGCGTGAAGTCACCTGAACCAAGTGTAACATCTCCCGCTCCGAGCGTGAAGTCACCTGAACCAAGTGTAACGTCTCCTACTCCAAGTGTGAAGTCCCCCACACCAGGGATCAAATCGCCCGAACCTGAGGGGGTTAAGTCACCACGGGGTGTAAAATCTCCTGAACCCAGAGTTAAGTCACCAACACAAGTCAAGACGCCGGAGAGAGTAAAGTCACCTGAACCAGAGGGAGTAAAATCCCCAATTGGTGTGAAGTCTCCAGAACCTGCCGGAATAAAAACACCTAGAGGTATCAAGTCTCCAGAACCTGCCGGAGTTAAATCACCTTGTGGAGCCAAGTCTCCAGAACCTGCCGGAGTTAAATCACCTTTTGGTGTGAAGTCTCCAGAACCTGCCGGAGTTAAATCACCTTTTGGTGTGAAGTCCCCAGAACCTGCCGGAGTTAAATCACCTTTTGGTGTGAAGTCCCCAGAACCTGCCGGAGTTAAATCACCTTTTGGAGCCAAGTCTCCAGAACCTGCCGGAGTTAAATCACCAAGAGGCCTCAAGTCCCCAGAACCTGCAGGCATCAAATCACCAAGAGCCTTGAAGTCCCCTGAACCCGAGGGCATCAAATCCCCTCTTCGGGTGAAGTCCCCCCCTCCAATTATGTCGCCCAAGAGAGTTGCGTCCCCTCCCACGGTCAAATCCCCGGTCCCGAAACCTCCTAAAGTCGTGAGTCAAGTGATGGCCGAGGCCAGCGAGGGCTCAGTCCGGATGTCCTGCGTCTGCGAGAGCAGCGTCCGGGAGGCGGTGTGGTCCGTCAACGGGAGGAGGCTTTCCCAGAGCAGCCACTTCGAGATGCACTACTCCGAGGGCTCCTGCAGCCTGCTGATCCACGACCTGGCCGACAGCGACCAGGGAGAGTACACCTGCCAGATGACGTCCGAGGGAGGGGTATCCAAATCGTCATTCTCCTTCACCGGACAGGTGTTCCAGTCCATCCGCATGAAGGTTACGGCCTACCACGAGCAGCAAGTGGCACTTACAGGTGAGTCCAATGTCATGCTAATGAAAGACTGAAGTGTAGCATTTGGAGGTCAATACTAACTCTCACACTCTCCGTAGTGAATGGGAAACCCAGAAAATCTAGAAATGTCTTGAAGTGCTTTAAGAACAGCATAACTATATGGATACAAACCCTCACACACACTTAGTCTATGTATCCGTAGTATCCTCATTACTTTGCAAGTCATGACTTTTACCTAAAAACGATGCAAACGCAATCCTAATTCTCTTCCAATTTACTACGTGTTCTGATTCTTCGTTCACCAACGAGGTAACACAGGAAGACTAGTTAGTTCACCAACGAGGTAACACAGGAAGACTAGTTAGTTCACCAACGAGGTAACACAGGAAGACTAGTTAGTTCACCAATGGTCCTTTAGTGGGTACTCCTCTTTACCTCGTAGTCATTCTAAAGACATATCAACCATTTCCGTGTCTCCCCCGATCAGGATCGATGGCGATGAGTCTTAAGGAGTCTTCACTGTCCTCTGTGAGCTCGTCCGTGAGCTCGTCCATGATGATGAAGAAAGAGATGCACGCGATGCAGGAGTCTTCCTCCTTCTCCTCTTCCTCCGCCCAGCAGGCCATGATGTCGTCCATGATGGAGTCCAGCTCCATGAGCAGCATGGCCGCTGAGATGAAGTTCGAGACCATGTCCATGTCCAGTATGTCCTCTTTGACGTCCGAGACGTACGCCATGAGCTCCAGCAGCAGCATGACGGAGGGTTCAGCGTTCCGAGCGATCGGTAAGAGATTCAAGGCTTTAATTGTCATTTGTACATAGCTTCAGTGTAGACATGCCAATGAGAATCTGAGGTCACAGCGGTCCAACGGTGCAACATAAGAAAACAGACAAAATAGTTCAAATAGTGCAAAGAGAGTCTGGAACAACTCTGTTTTCATTTCATTTCATTTCAAACCTTTATTTAACCAGATGGTCCCATTGAGATCATAGATCTCTTTTTCAAGGGAGACCTGCAGCATATAGGTTCCACATTTCTCAACATTTAAAAGAAGCTTAAGTTCAGAGAGCTGAGTATGAATAATGTTAAAAACAGCCTGTAATTTAACGCCAGCCTCCTTAATGGAGGGACCTGCACAGTACATCACGGTATCATCCGCATACAAAGGTAAAGTAGCTTCATCCACATTTTCACCTAAACAAATCTATCTTTGGGGTTAAGTTAAGTTAAGTTGCTGTCTCCTCTAATATTGAATCTGAGCTAATGTTCATGTTCTGTATGTTCCAGGTTCTGCCCCCAGGATCGAGGCTCTGCCGGAGGACATCAGCATCGAGCCGGGCAAAGTCCTGACGGTCACCTGCGCCTTCTCCGGAGACGCTAAACTCATCCAGTGGTCTCGCGGCGGGAAGAACATCGAGGTGACCGCCGGCGGACGCTTCCACATCGACACCACGGAGGACCTGACCACGCTCATCATCACCGGCGTGAAGGAGGAGGACGCCGGGACGTACACCCTGAAACTGTCCAACGAGCTGGGCTCCGACTCAGCAACTGTCCACATCAGCATCCGATCAGTGTAAAAAAGAAAAGAATCTCAAACCCTATCGTCCCCTTTTCCCTTCTTCCGTGCCTTTTTATTTATTAATTAAGAAATAATCTACTTGATAACGATCTGGATTTCTGTTCTTGTAAATATGAACTATTTTTGTACCAATCTTGACATTAATTTATGCCAAACTAGACTACAGTCTAACGTTGATAAAATGTGCCATATTGGATAACTATGACTTAGGGTTCTTAATCCATTTTTCTGTGACATGTACATAATGTATATAGCCGACTTTAACGGTTATGGGGAATGTATGCATTGTTATTTATGACAATAATAGTAACTGAAACAAAAGAAACTGAATGTGGTTTAACTGGAGAAAGTTCTACTAGGAACGAATACCCTGTTAGGCTAAGAAACTAAACTCTGTGCCTCAACGAAGCGTTGAAGTCTAAAGATTGCCTCAACAGGTAGAGAGGCTCCCTGTTGACGTTACTGAGACAGATATATCATATATAAGAATGCACTGCGCTGCATAGAAACTGAGGCGAGACCCTGAGTGCTGTTTGCATATACCCTCATGTAAGCAGCCCGACTGGGCCTCGCACTCTGACGGATTATGTCATACCGCCATTTCGATGACGCGCTCACAGTGCGGGCGGCTGCACTCCCTGAGCGACTGTTTCCTTTTTGTTTTGTGCTCCGGCTCTGCAGGCGACCCCGGCCCGGCTCTCAGTAACACCGCATCACGAGAGCAGAGCCCGGCCGGCGCTGGTCTGCAGAGGCGGAGCTGTCTCTCGGAGCGCTGCAGTGTGTGTGTGTGTGTGTTAGATATTAGCAGTCAGTCAGCGGGCGCCGGGCAGCGGAAACACCGCGCTGCCCGGCGAGGAGGACGAGGAGTCCCGCTCTTTGTTAGACTGAAGGTAGAGACGTAGCTTTTGCAGCCTCCTTGAGCTTTGCTCCAGTTGATTTAATAAAGCATGATTATCAGCACTAACCGTGTCTCCTGAGTCTCCTTTCCTTTGTGTCTTTCTTCTGGTTGAATTGGGAATATCACATTTACATTATGATACACTTCATATTCAGGGTCACACGTCCACGTTTCATCGAGCTCAACATTTTTAGTTAAAACATTATTTAAAAGTTGTAGTTTATTTAGTATGTTAAAATAATTCATAAAAAGTCACAGGACAGGGTCTCGTGAGAATGACATGTTTAATACTTCCTAATAAAAATCATTAAAAGTCATAGTTCAAAGTTATAGTAAGTCGTGAGAACATTTGTAAAAATAAGTCAAACATATAAGATTAATAGAGAAGTGTCAGAATGTTATATCAAAAAGTCATAGTATTGTACTTCATAAAGTAACGGTGTATTAAGTCATGAAGGGAGACCCTGTTCAGTGAGTCAGGAAGGGAGACCGTTTTCAGTGAGTCATGAAGACCCTGTTCAGTGAGTCAGGAAGACCCTGTTCAGTGCGTCATGAAGGGAGACCCTGTTCAGTGAGTCAGGAAGGGAGACCGTTTTCAGTGAGTCATGAAGACCCTGTTCAGTGAGTCATGAAGGAAGACCCGGTTCAGTGAATCATGAAGACCCTGTTCAGTGAGTCATGAAGGAAGACCCGGTTCAGTGAGTCATGAAGGGAGACCCTGTTCAGTGAGTCATGAAGGGAGACCCTGTTCAGTGAGTCATGAAGGGAGACCCTGTTCAGTGAGTCATGAAGACCCTGTTCAGTGAGTCATGAAGGAAGACCCGGTTCAGTGAGTCATGAAGGGAGACCCTGTTCAGTGAGTCATGAAGGGAGACCCTGTTCAGTGAGTCATGAAGGGAGACCCTGTTCAGTGAGTCAGGAAGACCCTGTTCAGTGAGTCAGGAAGACCCTGTTCAGTGAGTCATGAAGACCCTGTTCAGTGAGTCATGAAGGGAGACCCTGTTCAGTGAGTCATGAAGACCCTGTTCAGTGAGTCATGAAGACCCTGTTCAGTGAGTCATGAAGGGAGACCCTGTTCAGTGCGTCATGAAGGGAGACCCTGTTCAGTGAGTCATGAAGACCCTGTTCAGTGAGTCATGAAGGGAGACCCTGTTCAGTGAGTCATGAAGGGAGACCCTGTTCAGTGAGTCATGAAAGGAGACCCTGTTCAGTGAGTCATGAAGGGAGACCCTGTTCAGTGAGTCATGAAGACCCTGTTCAGTGAGTCATGAAGGAAGACCCTGTTCAGTGAGTCATGAAGACCCTGTTCAGTGAGTCATGAAGGGAGACCATGTTCAGTGAGTCATGAAGACCCTGTTCAGTGCGTCATGAAGACCCTGTTCAGTGAGTCATGAAGACCCAGTTCAGTGCGTCATGAAGACCCTGTTCAGTGAGTCATGAAGACCCAGTTCAGTGCGTCATGAAGACCCTGTTCAGTGAGTCATGAAGACCCAATTCAGTACGTCATGAAGACCCTGTTCAGTGAGTCATGAAGACCCAGTTCAGTGCGTCATGAAGACCCTGTTCAGTGAGTCATGAAGGGAGACCCTGTTCAGTGCGTCATGAAGGGAGACCCAGTTCAGTGAGTCATGAAGACCCAGTTCAGTGCGTCATGAAGACCATGTTCAGTGCGTCATGAAGACCCTGTTCAGTGAGTCATGAAGACCCAGTTCAGTGCGTCATGAAGGTAGACCCTGTTCAGTTAGTCATGAAGGGAGACCCTGTTCAGTGAGTCATGAAGACCCTGTTCAGTGAGTCATGAAGGGAGACCCTGTTCAGTGAGTCATGAAGGGAGACCCTGTTCAGTGAGTCATGAAGACCCTGTTCAGTGAGTCATGAAGACCCTGTACAGTGAGTCATGAAGACCCTGTTCAGTGAGTCATGAAGGGAGACCCTGTTCAGTGAGTCATGAAGACCCTGTTCAGTGAGTCATGAATACCCTGTTCAGTGAGTCATGAAGACCCTGTCCAGTGAGTCATGAAGGGAGACCCTGTTCAGTGAGTCATGAAGACCCTGTTCAGTGAGTCATGAAGGGAGAACCTGTTCAGTGAGTCATGAAGACCCTGTTCAGTGCGTCATGAAGGGAGACCCTGTTCAGTGAGTCATGAAGACCCTGTTCAGTGAGTCATGAAGACCCTGTTCAGTGCGTCATGAAGGGAGACCCTGTTCAGTGAGTCATGAAGGAAGACCCTGTTCAGTGCGTCATGAAGACCCTGTTCAGTGAGTCATGAAGACCCTGTTCAGTGAGTCATGAAGGGAGACCCTGTTCAGTGAGTCATGAAGACCCTGTTCAGTGAGTCATGAAGACCCTGTTCAGTGCGTCATGAAGGGAGACCCTGTTCAGTGAGTCATGAAGACCCTGTTCAGTGCGTCATGAAGACCCTGTTCAGTGAGTCATGAAGAACCTGTTCAGTGAGTCATGAAGGGAGACCCTGTTCAGTGAGTCATGAAGGGAGACCCTGTTCAGTGCGTCATGAAGGGAGACCCTGTTCAGTGAGTCATGAAGACCCTGTTCAGTGAGTCATGAAGGGAGACCCTGTTCAGTGAGTCATGAAGGGAGACCCTGTTCAGTGAGTCATGAAGGGAGACCCTGTTCAGTGAGTCATGAAGGCCCAGTTCAGTGCGTCCTGAAGACCCTGTTCAGTGAGTCATGAAGACCCAGTTCAGTGCGTCATGAAGACCCTGTTCAGTGAGTCATGAAGGGAGACCCTGTTCAGTGCGTCATGAAGGGAGACCCAGTTCAGTGAGTCATGAAGGGAGACCCAGTTCAGTGAGTCATGAAGACCCAGTTCAGTGCGTCATGAAGACCATGTTCAGTGCGTCATGAAGACCCTGTTCAGTGAGTCATGAAGACCCAGTTCAGTGCGTCATGAAGGGAGACCCTGTTCAGTTAGTCATGAAGGGAGACCCTGTTCAGTGAGTCATGAAGACCCTGTTCAGTGTGTCATGAAAGGAGACTCTGTTCAGTGAGTCATGAAGACCCTGTTCAGTGAGTCATGAAGGAAGACCCTGTTCAGTGCGTCATGAAGACCCTGTTCAGTGCGTCATGAAGGGAGACCCTGTTCAGTGAGTCATGAAGGGAGACCCTGTTCAGTGAGTCATGAAGGGAGACCCTGTTCAGTGAGTCATGAAGACCCTGTTCAGTGAGTCATGAAGACCCTGTTCAGTGAGTCATGAAGGGAGACCCTGTTCAGTGAGTCATGAAGGGAGACCCTGTTCAGTGAGTCATGAAGGGAGACCCTGTTCAGTGAGTCATGAAGACCCTGTTCAGTGAGTCATGAAAGGAGACCCTGTTCAGTGAGTCATGAAGGGAGACCCTGTTCAGTGAGTCATGAAGGGAGACCCTGTTCAGTGAGTCATGAAGGGAGACCCTGTTCAGTGAGTCATGAAGACCCTGTTCAGTGAGTCATGAAGACCCTGTTCAGTGCGTCATGAAGGAAGACCCTGTTCAGTGAGTCATGAAGACCCTGTTCAGTGAGTCATGAAGACCCTGTTCAGTGAGTCATGAAGACCCTGTTCAGTGAGTCATGAAGGGAGACCCTGTTCAGTGAGTCATGAAGACCCTGTTCAGTGAGTCATGAAGACCCTGTTCAGTGAGTCATGAAGGGAGACCCTGTTCAGTGAGTCATGAAGACCCTGTTCAGTGAGTCATGAAGGGAGACCCTGTTCAGTGAGTCATGAAGGGAGACCCTGTTCAGTGAGTCATGAAGACCCTGTTCAGTGCGTCATGAAGGGAGACCCTGTTCAGTGAGTCATGAAGGGAGACCCTGTTCAGTGAGTCATGAAGACCCTGTTCAGTGAGTCATGAAGACCCTGTTCAGTGAGTCATGAAAGGAGACCCTGTTCAGTGAGTCATGAAGGGAGACCCTGTTCAGTGAGTCATGAAGACCCTGTTCAGTGCGTCATGAAGGAAGACCCTGTTCAGTGAGTCATGAAGACCCTGTTCAGTGAGTCATGAAGACCCTGTTCAGTGAGTCATGAAGGGAGACCCTGTTCAGTGAGTCATGAAGACCCTGTTCAGTGAGTCATGAAGACCCTGTTCAGTGAGTCATGAAGACCCTGTCCAGTGAGTCATGAAGGGAGACCCTGTTCAGTGAGTCATGAAGACCCTGTTCAGTGAGTCATGAAGGGAGACCCTGTTCAGTGAGTCATGAAGACCCTGTTCAGTGCGTCATTTAGGGAGACCCTGTTCAGTGAGTCATGAAGACCCTGTTCAGTGAGTCATGAAGACCCTGTTCAGTGCGTCATGAAGGGAGACCCTGTTCAGTGAGTCATGAAGGAAGACCCTGTTCAGTGCGTCATGAAGACCCTGTTCAGTGAGTCATGAAGACCCTGTTCAGTGAGTCATGAAGGGAGACCCTGTTCAGTGAGTCATGAAGACCCTGTTCAGTGAGTCATGAAGACCCTGTTCAGTGCGTCATGAAGGGAGACCCTGTTCAGTGAGTCATGAAGACCCTGTTCAGTGAGTCATGAAGACCCTGTTCAGTGCGTCATGAAGACCCTGTTCAGTGAGTCATGAAGAACCTGTTCAGTGAGTCATGAAGGGAGACCCTGTTCAGTGAGTCATGAAGGGAGACCCTGTTCAGTGCGTCATGAAGGGAGACCCTGTTCAGTGAGTCATGAAGACCCTGTTCAGTGAGTCATGAAGGGAGACCCTGTTCAGTGAGTCATGAAGGGAGACCCTGTTCAGTGAGTCATGAAGGGAGACCCTGTTCAGTGAGTCATGAAGGAAGACCCTGTTCAGTGCGTCATGAAGGGAGACCCTGTTCAGTGAGTCATGAAGGAAGACCCTGTTCAGTGCGTAATGAAGACCCTGTTCAGTGAGTCATGAAGACCCTGTTCAGTGAGTCATGAAGGGAGACCCTGTTCAGTGAGTCATGAAGACCCTGTTCAGTGAGTCATGAAGGGAGACCCTGTTCAGTGAGTCATGAAGACCCTGTTCAGTGAGTCATGAAGGGAGACCCTGTTCAGTGAGTCATGAAGACCCTGTTCAGTGAGTCATGAAGGGAGACCCTGTTCAGTGAGTC